TAACTCTTTCTTTGACTAACTCTTTCCCTGACTAACTGTTTCTTTGACTAACTCTTTCCCTGACTAACTGTTTCTTTGACTAACTCTTTCTTTGACTAACGGTTTCTTTGCTAACTCTTTCCCTCACTAACTCTTTCTTTGACTAACTCTTTCCCTGACTAACTCTTTCTTTGACAAACTCTTTCCCTCACTAACTCTTTCTTTGACTAACTCTTTCCCTCACTAACTCTTTCTTTGACTAACTCTTCCCCTCACTAACTCTTTCTTTGACTAACTCTTTCCCTGACTAACTGTTTCTTTGCTAACTCTTTCTTTGACTAACTCTTTCCCTCACTAACTCTTTCTTTGACTAACTCTTTCCCTGACTAACTGTTTCTTTGCTAACTCTTTCTTTGACTACCTCATATATCCTGACTAACTCTTTCTTTGACTAACTCTTTCCCTGACTAACTGTTTCTTTGCTAACTCTTTCTTTGACTAACTCTTTCCCTCACTATCTCTTTCTTTGACTAACTCTTTCCCTCACTAACTCTTTCTTTGACTAACTCTTTCCCTGACTAACTCTTTCTTTGTCTTTGACTAACTCTTTCCCTGACTAACTGTTTCTTTGACTAACTCTTTCTTTGACTAACTCTTTCCCTGACATTCTAAAAGTCCGTAACACGGAAGTTTCTCCCCCTAAACTTCCTTTGACTATTACTACCACTACTACTAGTACTACTGGTGCAAATATACTACGCTACATTACACAACACTAATTACACTACACTACACTAATTACTAATTACACTACACTACACTACACAAACTACACTACACAAATTACACTACAACTACTACAACAGCAACAACAACAACAACAAGTAGTAGTAGTACTACTACTACTACCACCACCACTACTACCACCACTACCACCACCACCACTACAATTACAGCTACACTACGTTACACTACAATACACTAATTAAACTGCAGTACATTACAGCTACAACTACAACTACACTACATTACACAACACTACACTACACTAATTGCATTATATTACACTACAACTGCAACTACCACTACATTGCACTACATGACACTACACTACAACTACAACTACACTACTTTACACTACTTTACACTACAATACGCTAGACTTCCATACACTATACCACGCTACAGTACACAACACTACAGTACACTACAATACACTACACCAATTGCACCACACCACAACTACAACTGCAACTGCAACTGCACTACACTTATTGCACTACATTACAGCTACCACTTAAAACTACAACTCCACTACACTACAACTACAACTACACCTACAACTACAACTACAATTGCACTACACCACACTACATCCAGCAGTTGTGGTGAGGTGACCACTGCAACCATTGCAGCTACTCCAGAAAACACAACTCCAACCACCTTTCGGTCCATCAGTGGATTCGCTCTGCCATCCATGATTCACAACAACCAACCTCTCCTATAGGTTTCCTATTTTCGCCACCGCCTTGTGCGGTACTACTGGTACTTTCATAATGAATTTTCATAGGCCTTCTGACCCAACATGTCGAGTCTATTTGCAGTCTGCATTGTTCCAGGGACAGTGGCGGATGATGTGTGGTACGTCTGCACTTCAAACAATAGAAGCCAAGCCTTCTTGGAGGCTTTGAGAACCGTCCTCAGCAATTCACGATCAACTGCCGACCTATCTTGTCGGGCTTCTTTCACGCTTCTGTTCTGTCTATATAATATAAACCTCTCTTGCTCAGCCAGACTTTTGCAAAGTGTCTCTTGTTGGTATGCAGTAGTAAGCTCCGCAGTCATTACGCCGCCACTGTGCGGTATATTGAACACATCCTTGGCATCATTGATGACATGCAGGGCTTCCAAAAATCTTGTGCTCCAATTAGGGCCAAGGAATTGGCAAAGACAAAAACATGCGCGGCGATAACGGTCACCAGCCATTGGAAAGGACTCTGATTTCTGATGATTTCTGGCCATGCGAGCATATCATTCGCCAAGATGCCACACAAGCACGGGCGGCTTCGTGATTTGTAGCCTCAATCATTGCAAACCTCGGCACTGCAGTTTGTTAGTGAGAATCTCTCAGGCTTGGAAATTGGAATGACAAGCTCTCAAAAACCAATGAGCTCGGCCTGCCATGAGTTGGATGAGTGCCAATCCTTAGTCCCCAAACACTGAGGATACTGAGCACTAAATCACTATGCCATCACTATATATGTCACTATACCAATAGAAAAGGAAAAAGTTTGAAAAGAAAGCAGGACCGCTCTCAAGGCAGTCTCTTTTGGCAAGTTTCGTGGCTTTCTTGATGTCTTTGGCCATGAGTTTGATGTCACCTTCATCCTCAATGTCCTCGGATGGTGTCGAGCGTTTGGGTGAATGCCCCGCCTTTGCTCAACGGGTGGTCTGAGTTGTCTGAGCAGTCCTCAGGGAGGTTCTTGACAAATACCAGGTGAGTTTTGCTCTTTTCCAAGAAGTTCTCAAAATCTTGCTGAGAGATGACCTTTGCCTGAAGTGGTGTACAAGGCAAGTCCCTGTCAGAACACAGGGCCTCGCCTGTTCAAGCACAGACTTGCAGAACCAACCGAAACACCAGGAGAAAACCAAAAAATGCAAAAAGATGCAAAAAGTATGTGGGCCTTCATCTTCGGAATTCCCACCTTCCACTTCTCAATGGCTGCTACCATTTTTTCTGCCTCCGAGACATTTTCAGCAATGAGCCATGCTCTTGTGTGCTTGGCACATCTGTGAATTGACTGCCACAGAACAGGAGATTTTAGGATCGGCTGTAGCCGTGCAAAGACAACAGCCGTTCCTCTTTCAGCAGACTTGCCAAGTCTGATGAATTTTGATTCAGGCCTCCGGAATCGCCTTCATTTCCAAAATGGCCGTCTGCATTTCCTGAGGATGCATTGATGGCATCCTGTCACCGGAAAAAAAAAAACAGGAGTGGCACTCATTAAGTCTGAGCATCTTTTGCACTCTCACCCCACACAAACATGTTGCATCATGTTGCAAAGAACAGAAGTGACGCATGAGATCGAATGATTCGAATGGTTGTCATTGCATTTGCTACCAAAGGGTCTGCAGCCGTCACCAATTGGGCGCCCACAGGTGCGAGCTCTGCAGATGCGCCCCCAGCCTTTTTCTGAAACCTTTCATTTTGGATGCACAAGGCACAAGGACTAAGCCTACTAAGCTGAAAAGATCTGCAAAGGCCAAACATCTGAGAAATTTAATGAAATTTCCATTCAACACCCGAGATCTCAAGAGCACAAAAACGAAACTGGCAAACCGGGCAAACTTGTGAAAACCAACAAAATGCTGGAAACCAAGGTGCCACTGCAGAGTCTTCTTGGCCACATCTGGTGGCACGTTCCACACTTGAACAAATCGCAGATCCAGCTCTGGCTTGGTCGTGTGGCACTTGGTGCATTCTTCCAAATGGCCAAACATGGACGTCCGACATTGTTTGCAAGTCCAGATTGGCTTGATTTCAGAACCACCATCCTCAGAAATTCGCCCATCATGCAACAGCTGAAACATGTTAATCATTAATCAGCAAAAGACCGGACTAAGTTAGCATGAAAAAGTGTTCTTATTTCTCACCTTCGTGTTCTGCGGTGCCCCAAGCGCAAACAGGCAAAGAAATGTTGTCAAAAGAAAGAGCTGTCAACATTCTCCGACCGGCTTGATCTGTTTCCAAGCGTCTGCCACACTTTTCTTGCCAGCATCTTTCTCCTTCCTATCAGATCTATCAGCTGGAGGCTTGCGAGCTGGAGATCTTGCTGCCGGCCGAGCTTCTCTTGCCCTGTCAGCTCTGTCAGCTCCTGCAAAACGACATGCGTTGACAGTCACATTGTGGGGAAAGAATGGGAAAGAAGTTGTCTCACTTGCCCGAAGCTCTTGCCAACTCTTAGTCGCAAGCGGAAACTGAGACCAAATCTCTCTCAACATCTCTCAACTACTTTGGACACCGTTTGACCTCTTTCCACCCTTTGGTCCTTGATCTCTTTGAGGTTCTTTGCTTCTTCGGCCATCGGTTCGAGTTTGAGTTTGTCGACCGTTGTCCTTTGTCGAGTTCGGATTTGAGTTTGGATCCTTTGGATTTGTCGAGTCGCGCTCAACGCGTGAGGGTCGAAGCTCCACACGCTCGCCACGCCGCTCGTCCCGTTTCTCGTCGCGCCGCTCGTCGCGCCGGTCTCGCTCGTCACGTCGCCTCGTTGGCGACTCGCGCGGCTCCCTTCGTCGGGGCCGGGAGTCGCGCCTTCGCGACCGATCTCTCCCGTCTCTTCGACCTTCCTCAGCTGTGCAAGGTTCACATAGGGCACCTTTCAAGTTGTTTATATCTTTGAATTGCAAATGTCAGACCGTGATGACTTCAAGCAAATTCCAACGTCTGAAGCTGAAGCATACGGAAATATTGAAACCAGGATGCTGGGCTTCTTGAGCTTCGCCTGCCCTGCATCCAGAAATGTGGATGGATTAAACTATTAAACACAGCAGCGATTGATTCCACCTCTTCCACGTATCAATATGATATCTGAAAAATTTTGAAAGCTCAGTGAGACTGCAGTGTTGCTGGACATAGTGAGCGGGCATTCACTCATTGCTCCTGCGGTGATTGCCGTGGGCGTAGGATCAAGTTCTGCCCGCGACTGCGTTCCTTAGGAACCATTGTATATATATATATATATATATTACTTTGGTTTGGGTCACAAACCGGCTGTGATTCACCCAGTACAAAAGGCAATCAAAATAGAACTTAAAGATTCACTCAACATCATTCAACATCATTTAACATCATTCAACTCCTCTCTTTCAGATTCCACTTGCTTCAAGAAGCCCTGCTGTCGTATCTGCTGTCTGCGCTTCGCCCCATTGACAGCTACCTGGCTAGTCTCGGTCTGATTCTATGCAGCCTACCCCCTGTCAGCATCACCCCTTGGTCCTCTTTCTGCTCAAAAAAATCTAAAATCATCCTACAACTGGTTGCTCGTAACTGTTCGTACATGCGAGGTCATGGGGTCCTGAAAAGCCAATACCAACATCCTTGCCCTTCTTTCCAGTGGATTCAATGCTACACGGGACTCACAGGGACTGACTGATTTGTGGTTTCACTATTTTTCAGCCCGCTTCGTTAAAGCGGCCTTGCTTCACCACAGAGCCATGATGCCAGCCAGCATTATGCAAGAATTGCTCGAGTGTCTGTGCCCAAACAGTTTGACTACGGCTACACCATCTACACTAGCTGCAGGGTGCGTGTTCTTGCTCTGTGCATCCACGGTTTCTCCTTGATTGTGTCTGTGGGATCCTGCCGCAATGTGTTCCCTCATCTTTCAAGCGCTTTGCATCTTCAGAGTGCAAAGTTCCGCAGCAATCTGACAGACTAATGATTGAATCATATTATAAATATATATATACATATATATTATGATAATAATTATATATATATATAAGAATCATCCTGCATCCGGGGAAGTAGGTTGAGGAAATGTTCTTCCTCGAGCCAGATTGAAACGAGCAAACGGCTTCAGGCCATCAGGATGGCCAACTGACTCCCAAATGTGAGACACGCAAGACGTGGAAAGCGAAAGCAAAGCCAAGCTGGGCCAAGCTATCCGCTATCCCAAGATTTCCCAAGCTTCAAGAGTTGTGGATATGTGTAGATCAAGATCTGAGACGCCAACAAGTGAACCTGGAGTTGATCAGGCGGTTTGGGACCCATCGCGGGGCACCTCAGTTCTCTGCCGGCACTCACCGCACCGGGTTCTGCACCATTTACAGGGCTGTTGGCCAACTCACAGATGCGAACATGCTTTTTTGGGCACTTTTTGCAGCATAACTTCTGGTGATACACAAGGTGAGACAGGATCAAGATTGATCTCGGGATAGCTCCAAGCCTCATTAGGCGGAGCAAAACCTCAAATGCACCAAATATCACCATACCACAATGACATTCACAGCAGGGCTTTGTACCACTGGTCAGCTTGGACGTCTCTGCTGCTCTTCAATATGGTCAAGCTCTTCTTTAAACCTCAGAGAACGATAAGCATAGTTGGACGAAGCCGAGCATTCTGCGTGTCGGACAGGAAGTTTCAGGGAATGTGTGAGAAATGCATGGCCAATCCCAGTGTCAGAGATGGGCTGACCCGGACCTGCTGCCTCAGGCAATGACTCTGTGACCTCTTTGTCGTGCTGATCTTCTTTCACTTCAAAGTGGCGCTGCTTTGCAATCTCCTATGGGGTTTTGCCATAGTCTTGGAACCAGACAGGCTAAGGGGTCTACAAGCAGAAGTGGGTCTGCTGTTGCCACCGTTTCCCGAAAATACGTGATGGGGAAACTTAAACCCTCGGAAGTTGTCTAGAGTATGCATTTGGTTCCTCCAGCCGCCGTAGCTGCTCTCCAAACCTCAAGATGCATGCAGATATTCTGAGGGTCTCTAATGCAATCTTCACTGACTCCAGGAGTCACCCGACACGACTATTGCTGTGGCGCAAGATCGAGCTTTGTCTGCCACATATATCATATACCAGCGTGCTATCAGAAACCAAGTGCCAGACTCTTTCATCTCTGCATCACGCTCTACTTCCTTCTGCTCCTTTCCGCAGGCAAAGCTTTCAGATGTACCAGGACAATGAACGCATCGAAATGCATAACAGATTGTAAAACCTTTGGAACAAATGTGGAACAAACGCAATCTGCGAGTCCTCCTCCTGCTGGCGGGCAAGCTTGACATGCTTTTTCAGTGCCGTCACCTTGTGAAAGCTCTGCCAGACAAGACCAACTGGAGATATCAATATCCGGATAACCCGGATATATAACATCTGAATAAGCTGGGCTCGGAGCATAGACAGCTCAATATGCAAGCCACTAGCTGCTAGTCCCTTCCTTCTAAGCCACCTGAACCTATCCAAGCCCAGTGGCCGACTCGTCTCTCCTTCTCAGGTCTGCGACTGCTTCCTTGCACCTCTCTTCAGCAGCTTCCTCGCAACCGAAAACACGCTCTGAGGCAAAGAAAAAGGTGTTGAATAGAATCAAGGCACAACATCGAGAGATTGCAGCTTCGATATACACTAATATCCACTAATTATATAATACTAATTGGCTATGTTCTGAGAGCAGCTATGGGCCATCTCCCATGCAGACCAAGTCTCCGCTCGCTTCAATTCAGTGTCTAGTCGTGCCAAGACCTGTCATGCTTTGTGCATCTGGGGGCCGAAGCATCGAGCGGCAAATCTTAAAGATTCTCAAAGTGCCTCCTCCAAAACCGCTTGTGGATTGCAGCACTGGACTGCTTGGTCACAGCCTGACATCGATATGGCTTGGACGGCATCGTCTGCGCTTTCGACTTGCAGAACAGACCAAGGTTCTGGCATATGATCCCATCCGTGATGGAAAGCGGGCGCACCTTGCAGCAGAATTTCTCAAAGCATCGCCAGTTTGATTTCACGTCTCCCCTTTGGAAAAAAAAAACGCATTAGAAACAAAATGGAAAGAACCCCCAGTTCCATCCAACACACCCCTCCATGCAAATCCATGTGACGGCTGTCTTTCGCGTCTCCCCCACCAGCAGCTCTGCCTCAAGACAGCGGTGCGACCCATGTCCATGTTATTTGGCCACACTTGCTGTGGTGCAATGGCTGCAACCAGGTTTGCAAGACATCACAGGACTACTGTACATTGCAAAACCGAGGTGCGCTGGCAGCGTAGTCTCTGAAATGGCCGCGGCGTAGAACGCTTTTGCCATTGATGATGTGCTCCTTGCATAGCAGTGTGAAGCAGTGTGTTTTGAGCAAGAAAGGAAAACTCGAAACACATGAACACACGGTAGGAAGGGTGACCTCACTTTGAAAAGTCAGTGGGGTGCAAATCTCGCACCCTGTAAATAACACCGCGATTTCACAGATACTGAGGCAAGCATCTGCCAGCGCAATCAATAGCTCGACTGCCTCAGGTTCAAACAAAACAAGCACGAATGATCCAAGCAAGAAAAAAACACGTTTCAATCAGACCGTCACGAGGTAAAAGAATGTGAAATTCGTTCAGTTTGCATCGCATCTGGAAAAAGATCATACGCTCAGTTTTCAATGGTTTTCAGAGATTAGTTGCTGTTCGTCGGTCGCCGCCGCGCATAGACGGGTGCACCAAGAATTCCACTACGACACTTCCAGGTGTGATGTCCACAATCTCAGCGTGCGGGTGGCCAATCTTGCCATATGTGCTTCCCAGCTGAATCATAGTTTAATGTGCCAAAACATATAAAACGGTCTTGATGATTCTTGATGATTAAATATAATTAAATATTAATTAACATCATTCGTCGTGCGTTTTCATTCGTCGTGAATTTGAGCTTGTCACTGTGATGACTCCAGAGGGCACATCCAAGGCCTGGCAGAGCATTAGATCCCTCAGATCCCTCAGATCCCTCGTCTTCACGGTGCAGCATGGTGCGCCTGTGCGACACACTTCACGAAGAGATGCCGAAAATGGTTGATGTCTTTCGACAGCGAGACCTCAGTCATACTCATGGTCTCATGACCAAAAATGGAGATGCTGCTTTCCAACACCAAGACTTGTTGTGTCCTACGTGTTCCTTCATCTGATTTTTTTCAAAGGCTGTGAATGACTTGCATCTGAAATTTCACACATGAAATACCCTCACAGCCAAGCCACAAAGTCAGCACCATGTATGATCATCCATCCTGTCAAACATAGCTGAGTTGAGGTTTGGGAAATTGCCTGTAAAGAAACTTCCCAATGTCCGAGATTTCACACATCCCATCGATTCTTATCGATTCCACTAGCATTTGGAGCCCCGTGTCGGCCTCGGGCTGGTTGGATCGCCGCCTTTGCAGCTTCCTTTTCTTCGATCTCCTTCTGCCTAATCATTGATTTCTCCTTCCAGCCAAAAATTTCCGGCGCCAGAATATCGAGAAACCCGGGGACAATCAAGAGATACCGAGTGTCTGACAAGAAGTTAAAATATGTTTAAAAACTATAATCCGGAATGCCAGCAAGCAAATTCTCTGAATTGCCTTAGGCTTCACAGGCGTTTGTCTCAAGGTCCCATGCGTCCTTGAGAATCTCGGCAGCCTGTTCTCGGTCCTCATCCTGCTGCCATTGCACAATTCTGCGGCGTGTGCTTAGTTTAAAGAATCCGAAGCAACTACTGCAAAGCCTTGGAACAAGAATAACAGCCTATAATAATTGTCTACAAGTACAAAACGAATTCTGGTTTTCACCCATATCACTTTCACGGACAAATTTACCTGGCCTCATCCGCATGTCCCAATCCTCCTAGCAATGCCTGGGCCATGTGCAACGCTGCAAGTAGGTGTGTATACTGTATATTATGCAGTATCCTGAATCATGAATCAAAATGAACAAGGCGCCGCTTCACAGGTCGAGATGCCATTTGATGTAGCTCGACTTCTGTCAAGGTCCGATTCAGTTGCCGAACTTGGCTGGTAGCAGGTCGCGAATGGGTCACAGCTGCCTCAGCTCAGCAGTGCCTGGATGTATTGTTGTCTTCATGTGATGATTCCACATCCTTTCACAGCGCGAATCTTAAAGCTTGGTAGCGCCAGGATTGTAATTACGTGTATATATATATAACATATAACATATAACATATAATATATATATAACATATAACATATAATATATATATATAACATATAACATATAATATAATATTAATTAATGATTATAATATAATGATCTATTGAATCTATTGATGCCCCATTTCTTGCCGAGTCGCATTCGCCGTCTTCTCCCAGTCTGGAGCCGGTGGAGCTACGCAGTTTGGAGGTGGATCTTGGCCAATGGGCAAGTCGTCATAGACGGGCCTCCACGGGGACCATCACCAAACAGTCTCTTCAGTTTGCTGTGTGCGTCATGTGAAGTATGTGAAGTTTTGACAGAAGTCATGTATATATACTGTAAAATACTGCAAATGTGATGCAAATGTGATGCAAGCCTGAAGGTGGAGCAAATCTCATCCACCTCATCCTGTCCAAAGATGCGCTCTTCTTTGAAAGTCGCCTTTCGGGCGAAGCTCTCAAGACTCAAGACTCTAAGAGATCTCTAGAGAAATGTCCCCAATGTCGCCACCATACCTGGTCCCTTTAGTGAAACAGCTTCGGAATGCTTAGGATCGGTGCCTCTGAGCCCAGTCGGTTGACAGCTTCCCGGTACAGCGGAAGCACATCCGAAAGCTCGTCCTGCATGGCCTTTGGTTCGCAAGCACTGAAGGATCACAGAGCGCGACATGGACAACGAAGCTCAGTGGATGCTAAGTTGTCACATTTGTCACTGCCAAGAGGCCACTGCCACATCTTTTGCGCGGACTGGTGCGCCAGTGCATCTGCCCAAGACTTGTAGGGCAAGCGTAGCCTCGGGAGGCTATTGACGCTCCAAGGCTGGCCCTTTCAGGACTATGGATGGCAAACGTTTGACTTGGCAGATCCAAATGGTAGAATCTGAACGGGGGCATCTAGGCCTGGGTTAGACGCTGGCAACCTCTCTCTCTCTCCATCTGTCACACTGCCAGCTGCAGTGGTGAGACTGAAACACCCAACTCCCAATTCGGTAGCAGGCAATGAAACATGCCAAAATGGAAGTACTGTACTCATGCCCTAAGAATTAGTGAGAAGTGAATGCTGGCAACCATTTGGCCTAGGCCTTGGTTCGGCTACGTAGAACTAGCGATCCTAGTTTTTCTTTGAACACCACACTCAAACCGTGTCCGTCGCAGGGTTCAGTTGGCTAGACTAGCAGCCTCCGTAAGGCTTTCCCAGTGCCTATCCTATAGAAAAATCAGAACTTCCATGATACTTCCATGATACTTCCATGTGTCCACATCCTCTTGTCACATTTGAGGAACAAAGTTGGCGACTTCCGCAGCTGTGCAGGTGCCGCTGTGCGAGCTATCGAAGAGAGTCATGAAGAGCTGGCGCAAAGTGTGCCAAGATGTGCCAAGCATGGCAGCACAATGACACACAATATGCAACTTATGCAACACATACACAACACATACACAACACATACACAACACGTGACATAGCATGAAATATCTATCCGATCTATCCAAAAAAAATACATGGAATCAATGCCACCAGTTCGGCTTCCTTTGAAAGAGAAAACTTCCAACCCTTGGTACAGTTGGAGTCAAGCCGTCAAGCTTTCAGGAAGCGGAGATTATACAACTGAAAACAAAGCTATGAAAAGTGGCCCTGCGAGCATCTTGTTGCAACTTAGAGTCTCCACATTTTTCGGACAGCTTGGAAGAACTGAATAAGCCTGACCGCAAGGCATCTGCGGTAAGGCGTGCTCAGTGGCGTGCTCCCGAACAATATTCTTGCAGGTCAAACATATCCGTCATGCTTCCAGATCCCAGCTTGCGGCCAAAATGCAAACCATCACTAAAAGCTCACGGGCATCAATCAAAGCCTCAGCTGAAGCAGGATCAGAAACGAGATCAAACCCTTACACATCACAACATCACAAATCTAAGCCAACTGTGCAGCATGCCGCAAGAGGTCGAGAAGCATTTTGCTGGCTGAAGGCGTCGAAGATGAACAAGAGGTTGAACTCTGGTAAAAAAAGGATCCTCAGTCGGCCGCGCACATTGTAAAATTAAATCGTGAACCTGGCTCCATGTGTTGTTCCACCTTCCACTCAGACATCAGAGACCTCGGGAGAACACACAAAGCAGCCTACAGTGCTGCAGGGCTGCAAGGCTTTGCCAAGTTTGCCAAGTCGCTCTGCTAAATCTTCGTAGCTGATCCAACCAGTATTCTCCACATCGATGTTCTTGTATCGCCTGCCAGCGGTCAAGGTTGACTGCCGAAATCCTTTGGGTCGCGACATCATGGGCTCGGCCTGTACACTGCCCAAACATCACCTCAGTAGAAAATGAAAACCGTAAAACATAAAACTACGAAATTGAATGTGAAACCAGAGCTGTGATAGATAAAAAGGGAGCAAAGATAGAAAAGATGCTTAAAAGATGCTTAAAAAGTATCTTCTTTCAAGTGACCATTGTAGAAAGCTCCAAAGAAGCGCCGTAGAGTTGGTCCGATGTCGCGCTGTGCCCACGCACTGCCTGCTCCAGCAAAGGACATCAGGAGAGATGAATCTGGCAGGAAAAAGTGCAGAAAAATGGAGCAAACAAAAAATACAAAAACAAGAAAAGAAGGAGCGACTCTTTGAACAAGTAAATGCTACCCTTAACCTTTTTTCGCCACAGAAGTTTGGAGAATCCGCACTTTATACCTGCCTCTTCAAAAGGTGCTTACAGTAATTTCTGCCTTTTGCCCAATAAATAGGTTTTGCATAAGAACGACCTTTTTGGGCAGACCAGAGTTTCTTCTGATGTATCCAAACCCGTTGATCAGCGCCAAAAATGCCCGACCAAACGGCGAAAATACCCGACCACGTGGTCTGACAATTTCACAGAACGGCATTTTTCGACAAGAAAGGCGAAAATTCTAGAGTTGTTGAGCAACGGCAGAAATAAGTACCATATGGATCCATATGGAAGATCCAGGTATAAAGGGGCCAGGAGGAAGAACCCCATGCATTGCCTTAAGTCATCTTAAGTCCACACAATACCAGGAAGTCTCAGGCCTGGCGCAACACTGGGGACGACGGCTTGGATGGAGCGGACCTTGGCAACAGAAACGCTGGGAAAACGGAGGCTGCAACAAGCAACAAACAGAACAAACAGAACAAACACCTAGACCTATTCGACTGTGCCTAGGCTTATCATGGCTTATCTCGACCTATTCTGCAAAGCACAAGGTAAGGCCGCTGCAAAGCCGGCACCCATTGTGCAAATGACCTCCAACGCGAGCAAAGTATCACTGAAAACATCACAAGACTATTTAGGAAAGCCCGGAAATGCAAGCTGCAGTGATCATCATACTTAGTCGCTCATTCCACTTCCTATACGCTTTCTCTTGACGCTGCACACGGTGTTGTGTGAGAAGAACTTGTTTTGGACTCTATATAATCCCCGGTAGAGAAAGCACCAGAAGACCGATCCTTTTGGGTATTTCGGCTTTTGAACAAAGTTACAAAGCTACACATCTGAGACACTCTGCTTCTGTCCAGTCGAATAATGCTTAAAATTTAAAAGAGTAACTGTATCAAACTAAATGAACGTGAACGCTACATTCATCTAGCTCGGTGTTGGGGTAACAGCTTTTGTATCTGTCATGGCACTGACAATTGTGCTACGTCAGAGACAACTCAGCAAGTTCAATCTTAGTAGCATTGATTTGACATGCTTTGACCAACCCCTGCAGTGTGAGTGATCCAGCCTGGTAGTGGGTTCAAATCATGACAATGTGACTGGCACAAACGGTGAAACAACTGTGGAGGTGGGCCAGCTGAAGTCTTCATGTCCTAATCTGATCCACTGATTACGACTGCCTGTGAGTGCTGAGAAAATGAAGTGCAAAAGGGAAGGCACTTGCTATGAAGTTCTATGAAGTGACACCAAATGGATTGGGCCAACTGGGAGCTCCACAACTTGAGCCAGTGAAAAGGCAGCATCAAAAGAAACAAGGTCTTCAACATCTATTGAGGTGAGAGGATCGGCCAGTACTGTGCTGTCCCTCCACTTGGTCATCTAGGCTCGAAACCTTGAACAAACACCTCTACTGGGGGACCGGGAAAAGCTTGAGTCGTCAAAAAAAAACAAAGACTCAAGCTCCGCTAAACTGTTCCAATTGAGTCGACTGACGGCTTTCGCTCCGGACTTGACAAGACCGCCGGGACAAATAGCAAGCGCGATGACAGCAAGTCAAGCCCTCAAATCTGCTGCTATCTTTCGCATAAGCTTCCGATTCATCTGTTTCTTACCCCAGAGCCATGGATCTCCTGTCAAGTAGCTAGCTAGGCTGTAAGAGGTGGATGCTTTGATTATGATTTCTAGCAGCCCCAAGCCACTTGAGCCAAAACATGCAGAAGTGCCTCCCTCACCTTATAGGCAAGCCGTAGTGGTCACAGACAGGAGTTAGATAATATCATTTGTGCAAACATCTAGAATCTAGACTGTCACTAAATCTGCGCATATGTTTTTTGATATCTTTTCCATAGCACTTCTCGTCCTAACAGGCAAGCCTGAGATACGCTGAGCACAGCTGACTGTGGCTTTGCCACTGTCCAGTCAAAGGGCTGAAAATGCTACCAAATGTGAAACTTCTTTGGCATTCTAGCATGGAGTCGTTGCTGAGCCCATTCGAATGCATGGTCTTTAAGCCCCAAGCATGTTGTTTGGGCTCTTCTTACAGGCCAACATTTATGGCCCGTGTAGCCTACCTAGATCTAAGTGAGGTAAGTCACCAAGAACATCGGTCTCTGCAGCCTCTGCCTCACTTTCTTCCTCATCTTCAAAGCCTGGTTGATTCTTTGCCCGACTTGCTTCTCCGGCCTTCCGGATCCGGTCATTGAATTCCGCCAAACTCACCGACTGCGTGCTGTTTCGGCGAACGCTTGACAAAACGCGTTCATTCAGTTCTTCAGCACGCTTTCGGCCAGCTTCACGCTTCTCATGAGTTGCAAGCTCTAGTGTAGTCAGAGACTTCCGGCGATCTCCACGTGGTCGTGGGATGATCTTTGGAGCTCTAGGGCTGGGACCTGATGACATGTAGACAGGATTCTCCGGTGGCTTTGGACCAGCTGACGGTCGCCATGGCTTCACCTTCTCGCGATCCACCTTATCGAGTTCCACCGTCTTTTTCCGGCGCAGAAAGACCAAAGTTGGCTTTCCCAAACTTGTCTTGGGACTGTTGGGGCTTTTGGGGCTTTTGGGGCTTTCTTTGCCTTCTTTGGAACTTTCTTTGGAACTTTCTTTGGAACTTTCTTTGGGACTGTCTGGTACGCTCTCACTCGACCACTGCGGAAGGATGTGATTGCTGGTCAGCACTGGAAACGCACGATCTGACGCATATCGGCTTGCGCGTTCAGTGCGGTATGCAATCCGATTTTCAATTTCTGCAGCTTCGTCACAGGTTGTCTCTACCATTTTCTGTCTGTCTGGCTTTTGAGGGGTGCTCTTGGCACGGCCAGATTTCCGCGGGCTATCTGGCTGAATAATGCCTACGAAATAGGTCTTCACAACCCGCTTTGGGCTGGTGCGCCGGAGAGGCAATGTTGGAATGGTTGGAGGGAGTAAACGTTTGCGCTTGACAGGTGATGTCTCTGGTTGAAGGCGAACCTCAATGAGTTTCGAGGCTTCTGCCCCATCAATGGAGTACGCTGGTGAGAACTCTACCATGCTTCAAGCGTCCCTAGCGTCCCTAGGCCAGTGGCTAGGCATGGCACCAAAAGAATCGGACATGTTGGATTCCGAAACTTCATTCCCACACTAAATCATACTAAATCATTATGCCCTTCTCTGTCTGCTTGAATCTCTTGAGATTTTGGGAATCCCGATGTTCAGGTGAAATAGATGCCCCTTGTAATTTAGAATTCCATCCGGCCACATCGACAAAGCTTGCAATTTGGGCATGGGCATGTGAGCCCCTGGCGGCCGAAATTGCGGGAAACAAAATTCATCAACGGCCAAGTAAATCTTCTGTCTACAATACCACCTAAACTTCGAATGTCACGTTTTGTGAGCTGACCACACTAGCTTCCACCAGTTCCACCAGGCCATCAAAGTTTCAACATGTTCCAACATATCTTTAGGACGACTCTGTATACTGTGCTAAGACCTCACCCCTGACAGTTTCCCTTCACGTTTGCCATAGTTTCTCCTCTTTGGAGCTTCTGGCTGCACTGAAACCAATATCCAACGGAGCTAGTGCCCCATCTAATCAGCACACAAGCATGGGCGGCTCGCACCTCAAAGAAAGTGTTTATCGATGTTTATCCTGTTTATCCAAGAAAGTGTTCACTTCATGTTGTCCAAGTCAAAACTTCAAACCTCAAAGCCCATCTGAGGCTTCTGAGTAGGACACTCTGTCACCGGAGGCCCACCTGGAATGCACCTCCGTTTGAGCCAGGCATGTCTGCTCTACTAGGAGCCCACCCGTCACCCGAATGCAGGACTTTGACATTGCCTCTTTTCAGCTGCTCGGCTGTCCACGTGCTGAAAAACCCTCTGACCTCGATGGAGCAAACACAACTACGACACTGCAAAATGGCAACCGATAGGATCCGATGATCCGACAGGCATCAGCAAGCCAATAAAACCAAAAAAATGCTACAGCGACTACAGCATGCTATATCTGGCTGCGGTAGCTGCTGCTCTGCACTCCTGATTCTTGATCCAGTGAATGACTTACACTTTCACTTTTTCTGCTGCTGCGGGTCACCATCTCATTGCCGGTAGCAAGTCATCAACCTGGAATCAAGCTGTCCAAGCTTCAAATCAAACCAGAGCATCAAGGCTTTCAATCAGGAACAAGCCATTCCAAATGCAAGACGCCTTCGATGAGTGTGTTGAAGATGCTGATGGCATCCTTGAGGACTTTCATCTCTTCCTTGCGAGCTGCCTAGCAAACAGGTCAAATCTGCCAAAGCCTTCATTGCCGTGATTTGAAGTGCCGTCTTTTTGGTTTCTAGCGCAAGGCAGGAGCTGCCAAGACTGAAAGGGAACAGGGCAAAATTCTGAGTGGTAGAGATCAGTTGATTACTCAACACCCCGTGAGGGCACTGATATACTCTGAGGGCATGCCCTCATTCTACAGTGCCACAGTCGTCGCCTTGCGCTGCTCATAGCTGGCTCCAATGCCACACTCCTGATCCCGTGCAGGGAGAAAACCAGGGTCAAAAAAAGCAGGGGGGAAAAATACACTAAAAATTAATTCAAGAAAGCAATGGGCTTGCGCTGCATGCTCTCTACTTGGAGCAAGTTGGAGCAAGCCATGGCGTCGCAAAGCTCATCACCTCACCAACTGCGCCTCTTCCAAGGCAGCAAGCTCCACCAGAGCGGACTGACGAACGCAGGCGTCACGACAGACCCCGTTCCCATTCTAGGGCAGAGGGGGGGACGACAATGAAAAAAAAAGATAGGGAAGAATAAAGGCAATAGATGGCAATATTTGAACCAATATGATGCTGCCTCCAGCGAGCCAACTATAGTGACTATAGTGACTCGTGACTGTATATTATCTGTTTGCTTTCATTTGACCCATTTAACCTTGGGAGTCATGCATCCTCTCACCCACCTTCATGGTGGAAGTCTCCTTCTTCAGCGCAGAGGTTTCCTGGGACATCTCCTCCGAATTCACACAAAACCAAGTGGCCATATGTTGGCGCCAATGGCCGGGCCTTTCCGAAGCCATCCCCCCCGTCCTCTGCTGTCTCAATCTGCGACTGGGTCTTCACCTTGGCTTCTCGTGAAGCGGGTTGCAAGACCTGCTTCCAACAACTGAGCACACTCTGGATGTTCCAGAAACAAGTTGGTCCAGTCGTCCAGCCACCTACACTCTCCGTACATTTCCGTACACACTGGTGGTCTACCATCTGAGGCCTGGTGCCTTCAAGGCCTTGTCCTTCTCTGCGGACGACACATCGATGTCACCAGTGAGTTCCCTTCCAAAGTCGCGGTCATGCAGGCTGCACGTGGCAAAGACTGCAAGAGTGGCTCCAGCTGAGATTGAGTCGAACGTGCCTGTGTTCCTTGATGGCCTTCTCTTCCAATGCCTGGTAGAAAGAACGTGGGGCGCGCGGCTGGACCCAGGCTCGCAAATTTGGACGGTCCGCCTGAGTCTCCGAGATCGCGCGCTCGAAACCAGACTGGATCACTTCAAGGGTGCCAAGGATTCCGGTAGAACTGGCCTCCCATGCCAGCATTGTTAGGTGCTGTCACACTCCGCCAAAGTCCTCATGAAAAATCTTCTGAGGGCATCCAGTTGGTACGTGAACCGATCCAAGAATAATAACAGTTCTTCTTTCCATCTCTGTCTGGATGTCAAATGATCCATGGATATCCATGGTAGTTTCCATTTGATTGAATGTGTGCTGGTTCAAGTACCAAAAGTCCCAGCCTGAGCACCCTTGTATGCCTGGCGACACAGAGCAAAAATGGCATGAGGCATGTGGCTTTCATCACGTCGGAAGCTTGACTTCATGGCAGGCAGTGGGTCCCCATTTTTCGGCCTCGCCATTGTCGAAGCCAGCATCTGGGACGTCTTCCGCTGTTTGCTGTGCAAGGGATTCCACCTTGACAGCAGCCCGACAACTCTGCAACCATTGGAACCAAACGGAACCTCGGGCAGCGCCTTGGCCTCCTTTCCTTTTGCATAGAAAGCGGAGAGCACCTGAAGAACCCGCAAGACATCGCATGACAAAGCTATCTATACATATCTATACCTATCCGCAGCCATCCATCGCTACCCATGGCTATCCATGGCTATCGCTATCCACGGCTACCGCATCACCTCACATCTTCGGAGCCCCAAAGTACGGCGCCTGTGTGGCCTGCTTGATTCCGCTGATTGCATCCTGCCACAGTGGAAAGATCAAGAAGTTCGGCTGAAAATCGGGCGTCAGTCTATGCAGTTTTGGGCCATACATCCATTCCTTTTGTATCCATCCCATCTGGGCATTGCTGCGATTCCTGCCTTTGCATCAGAAACTTTCGTCGCGGACTCCTCAGCCTTTCCACGTGACACACGCACACGCACACACAAACATTCAAATAGTAGCGAGAACCGTAAATATGTCAGAATGTCTTCAGGATGTCTTCATACTTTGGTACTTCGACCAGGCAGATTGATGATCTCCTCAAATACCACACTGTCTTGCCGACTCCTTGCCTCCTCCTTTCGGACAGAATCAGCCTTGGTCTTCCTGAGTTCCCCGGTTTGGATTGCCCAGTTCAGTCTCGTGTCAAATACATTCAAATACGATGACAAACAAATGACAAACAAATGACAAAATATGGCAAAAACATAAAAAGACTGCGAGAATCAGTAGCTTCATGCGGCTGCTCTTTTCACAGCTCGCCATAGGCTCCAACCCCTCCCAAGAGCCAGAGCTTAATTTCAATCCAAGCCACTGTGCTGCCAACTCTTCCAAGGCTGCTTTCTTAGTTGATGGAAAGTGACAGGGAAGTTTCAGTGGCCAACACCATCCCCGCCATCGGGAATCCCCTTTGAAAACGTTGCGGATTGCGCTTTCATCCAACCCACCAAGAGCGGCACGAGAGTGGAGATCTCTTCCAAAAGCTGGTCATTGCGTGCCTGTTCAGCTCCGTCACTTGTGCCCTTCCATTCCGTCTATTTCTAAAAAAACATGGAAAAAACAAGAATTATTACGTGGAAGCATCATGGATCATCATTGAATCCATCCCACCAAATGCACTGCATGTTTTCGAGCAAAGGCAGGCTGAAGCCTCGTTGGCCGCCAAGTCTCCGTTCAGCTGGGAGACCTTCAAATAGTCCGGAATAAAGTATAGACAGGCATCAAGCACTCGGGAGACTGTGAGGAACATGAACATCATGTCAGTATTAACAAGAAGATGCAATAAGAACAATAATGGAAATGAAAATGCATTAATAGCACAACAACGAAATTAAATAAACAAAACAACATAGAATATAAACTAAACAGCAATATGAAACATACGTGTCTGCATATGTGTTTCATGACGGCTATAAAAACATCTTTCAGTGCATCGATTGCACATCAAGCTGTCGAGTCAACACTTGGATTTCTGGCCTTCTCTGATGCCTCGTTGCGGAGCACCTCGGCCTCACCAATCTCCTTGTCACAGTATGCCTGGCAAGCCACAAAATTGGAAACCCCTCAACAAACGGAGGTTTAATATGCTGCAATGGCAAACTCATCTACCTATACACAATCACAATATATATTATATATATATAGTAACTAGTACACAATATGCATATATATATTATAATATATATTATAATATGTATATATATATATACATGTGTGTGTATGTATGTATCAAATATTAAAAAGTAAACAATGCGCGATTTACATATATATGCCCCATTGATATATTTAATATATTTGATGAAACCAGAAGGTCAGAAGGTATCCCACAATCTCAGTGGATCTCAGTGGATCTACATCCAAGCAGGTTGCCTTCTTGGACTGGGATGAGGCAGCCTGCGGAGATTTTGGCGCTGGCAGCGTACTTCAAGCCAGCTGAGGCTCGCTGAAGAGCGCTGAGGGAAGTTTGCTCTGGTCGATAAAATATCAAGGTTTTTTCATGCGCATTTCCAGTATAGAATTCTACCACGCCAAGACAGGCAAGCTCGGAATTTATGTCCTGTTGTCAAGCTCACCTGTTCCTGCAGCTTCGTGATGAGGCCAGAGATGAGATCTTTGATGACTTTCAAAGGGTCCTGGCTGTGTCAACAGGTTCACCAGAAGGTCCCCGAACCACGCGCTTCACTTGAGCAACTCAAGTAATGCTGTTCATGCGCGTTCCACAACTCCGAAGCACCTCCGAAGCGCGTTGGGCCAAGTTGGCCTCAAAGTGCAACGGCATCGCATGACACAAAGTCTGACACAAACTAATACTAACACCTGTGTTTGAACATGGTAAAAAATGTAAGAGTTTGCCATTTGCACCCGGCACCACAGCACACAACCAAAGCATATCCAAACAGAGTATGACCTGCTCCAACCTTCCACATTAGGTTCTTATGTGCTACATCTGACCTAATATATAAATCAGTATCACTATCACCACATTGTCCAAATCCATACGTGGGAAATATGAACCTTTGCTCCAGCAGTGTAGTATCTCAGGATGGCACCAAACGACGGCTCTGCAACTTGCTGGCACCACTGCTGAGCAGCGCGACCAACCTCAAACAACAAGATGCAGCCATTGCACCCAATTCGGATCGAGATCCCTCCTGGGTCACCAAATTCTGACAAGCCACCTTTGGCGCTCTGGGCTGAGCAAGGCTGACTGGACCTTGCATGGTACGGACTTCCATGGAATTGATTAGAATCCCAGTTGCCCGGCTCGTCTTCACACACTCTCTGCCGCTTCAAGCTTTGCGAAGCTGGAGAGCTGAGGCATTTACACTGGCAGCGGCCACCAGGTGCTCCGCCTTCCATCCCAACGAACTAGAAACAACCAGGAGCTACATGGAGCTACATGGAGCTACCAGATCTTGTGGTCCCAGTGGCTTGTCACTGCCGTTCTTTTAACTCACCTCTTACAAGCTAGGAACGGGGTGCTGGAATCCATTGCCGGAATTTCACTCATCTTCCAAGCAGTGCCAGCCTCCTTGACTCCTTCCTGGTTCGCCTCACAGCACATATGTGAGTGATGAGTCCTGCATCCGAAACTCAACAAAGCAACACGTTGCCAAACAGTGTGTCGTAGCACGTTGTTTTGTCAAATTACATGTTCCGACCCAGATTTTTTGGAACTGTTTGAATCTTTCAGCAATTGCTTCCACCGCTTCAGATTCTCTGAGCCGAAAGCAACTTGCAAGAAGCTGCCCACATCCACAACCCCTTGCACATGAGGTTTGGCCTCAACCTGACCCAGGAAAACCAACTCTCGGAAAGCTGCTCGCAAGCACTACGTCACTACGCAAAGAGTACAGCTGCTGTAGGCATCGAAAGTCGCACATTCATCTTGTTGTTCATCATCTTTGACTGAAACCAGTGCAGGGCAAAGAAATCTTGAGTGCTGAGTGCTGACCTCATAGAGCATGGCCTGTCAAGACTACACAAGCATAGTCATAGTTTATGAAACAAAACGTGTGATCTCTCTCTCTCTCTATCCGTGTGTTCTTGATCAACCGAAAACTGCGCGAGCCTTGCCAGGAGCCAAGGTGTCCTGCCAGACTGCAGCGACAATCCATTAACATGTAACTTATGTTCCTGTTTCAGCTGACTTCTTGGTCCTCCCCTAATATACAACTGTATGTAACAGGTTGGGGCGTTCACTTGTCGTCTAAATCCACAAAGGACGTGATCCACCGGGCCTTCAAGATGTCAGTCGCCTTGGTAATTGCTTCAAGTTCTTCCTCTCGCATGGCCTGCATCAAAGTCATCAAATCCAATGCTTTGTCTTCATCTGACCTCTCAGTTCAATCTGCTGTCCCTTGGTATCTCTCCTTGCGCTGTTCGAAAGTCGCAGCTTTCTCCTGCAAGTGACGACAGTCAAGCGAAAGGTACGAGCCAGGATATGCCGGATATACCTGTTCAAGCTGGCAAACCAGATCAATTGGAGGACGCAATGCTCCTTGCAAAGGACTTCAGTCTCCTTGACGTACTTCTTGTCATCCTGGCACCCGTGAACAAAATTGCACGAATACTGGCATGCCGAAGTCTGCTATCTAAGGAGGGGAATTATCGGACACTACTGTGCTTTGGTTCTATGCCAAAGGGCTAATCGCAGCAACATAGTTGCCAAGCACCTACCAGCTGATGGTGACTCAACTTCCCTCTGAGTCACACAGTCGCTGGCTCAGCGATTGGGTGAATTCGTAGCACATATAGCTGCTATAATCTTGGTTTGTGTATCTTCGCGGTGTTTGGGTGATGTTAGTCAGTATGATCGACTTGGCCACGGCGCTGAGACTCGCCTCCAAGGTCTCCTGTGTGGTAACGAGGTCGGACTTGGCGGTGCCAATCGCCTTCACTCGAGCACCAAGTTCCTGTGTGGCGAGAGCAGGGAGCACGCAGAACTTGGTGCTTCTATGCACTCCTTTCAGTGCAGACTCAGCACTTTAAACCAGGACTAGGTGCGATATTTTTAAAGCTCATGACCAAACATTCGGTTTGCAAAAGCATGGGCCGCTTTGTAAGGTGCATTCCTGCTTCATGGTGTTGAGCTGCTTTTTCTTGGCGGCAAGGTTCTGCTTCATGGTCTGGCCAGGGAGGCGCGGAATCGCAAGAGTTCGTAAGTGATGAGTGGATCACCATATCGCAAGATATGTCGCAAGCATGGCAGTGGCCTGCTGCGCCATCTTATAAGCAGTGTCCGCTTTGGCCTCGTCCATGTCGGCCTACACGGCTGCACACACGTCCACCAAGCTGCGCCCAGTGTGCAGCATGGCCATGAAGGGCATCAAAGTATGTCACACATCTTCACAGCTCCTTACATCTTCACACAAATGCAGGTGGTACAAATGTTGCAAGGCTGGGCGCCCTGACCGTCTTGTCAGACTTCCTGAACTCAGCCTGCAAGTCTTCCAGCATGTCAACCACACCCTCGTAGGAAGAGTCCTGCAAAGTCTGAAGGTCTTTGATGCAATTGATGTTGAAATATGTTGAATAACCATGCCAGCTGTGTTCAGGCCGTGGCCTCCCCAGAGATGGAAGTCATGGCCTTCAAACATTTGCGAACACTGACTTGCAAGAAAGGGTCAGCGCCACCAGTCTGTGAGGCTTCTATCTCTGAAGTTCTATCTGGCAGTGTATCTGAATTTTAAGGTGATGTAATAGGCGGCACTTACCTTCAACCCCAGTCTCCCACATGCCTTGCTAGTCTTCAGTCCCAGGTTGCTTGCCAAGAGCATTGCTTCCTTGACTGTTGTTGTGATGCTCCTTAGGCATGCTCGGGCATGCGTCACAACATACACATGCCAATTCAACTGCATTGGATACTCCTGACACATAGCGGCACGCGAAATCTGATTGTCCAAGACGAGGACGATTTCTGCAGAAAGCTTGAACGTCCAGCCTACTGCACCCATGCATCCAGGCAATGCAACACAGAACTTCGTGTTGCAATTTGGATGGGTAAAAAAAAGAGCCATATTGTCACAGCCTTCATCTCTTCAAGTGCTTTGGCAATGGCCACGTTGGCAGCCTTGCAGCCAACAAACAAGTAAAAAGGAAACATGCTCACTGTTTACAAAAGTAGGACAAGGGCCATTACGTCACAACGCTCATCAATTGCCACACGATGTCCACTGGAACCAACCTCCACTTCTCCATTGGTCTTCTTGTACTCTGCCAACTCTTCTTTCCTTGTTTCGGCCGTGTCCTTGCCAGAATGCTGCTGCGTCTATGCCATCCGAATTAATATGTGAATCAACTCCCAAGTGCAAGGGGGTGCCGAAGCAAGTTCCATCAAATGAGTTAGAATGTGGGCTGCAAATATGTTAATGGCTTGGTGTCCTCAATCTTCTTCTTCAGTTCATCAATCTCGGTCTCCAAGTCTCCGATGGCCTACCACGACAGCGAAAGGGAGCGAACCAGCAAGTGAAACGAGGGACAGTTGGCTGTAGCTGGCCATAGTGACAAAAACTGAGACTGTGTGTGACACCTATCGTTGCAAACCCCCAGACATGTCCAGACCTCATTGAAACACAGAATGCTTTGACAGAAGCGACTTTCTTTGTAGCCACAGTCACTCGCCTTCTTGTCCTTGGTGTTTGTCTCTGTCCAGAGGTCAATGTTGGCCTTCAGGACAGCAGCATACGAAACATCTGGGAGCCGCCAGAGGAATTCAGGCCTTGAGAGAAGTCTCCTTATCCGTATTTTCAGTGATGGCAGCGGTCTTCTCCTCTTTGGTGTCGGTGCCTTGATCCATCACTTCGTGTACTTCGTGGCACGCTGTAAGCACACATGTGTTTGCACACAAAAGTTCACATATGCATGTACATTCTATATCCCTGCATAAGTCTTGCATATAAATGACTATAAATGTACATGATTGTACATGTACATACATTAGTATCACTATAGTATATCAGTATATCTCGTCTTAGTATGTTCATTCTCCCACTGGGATTCTATGCGTGGATCCGAGGTACAGAAGTTCTCGAACTTGGTGTAAGTTCTGAATTCTGTCTCTCCCTGCAGGGGATTGACAGCGGAGTGCAGGCTCAAGAGTCTCTCAAATTTGCTTGGCCAATTCGCTTGGCCTCTGCCGTGACTTTGTTGGCGGTGTTCTCCATCATCTTAAACACCTGAAAAGTGACAACTCGCAATGTGTCTTTCTGCTTAGCATTGCCTGGCTAATCCTCTTCTTCTCAAGGCACGACAGATGGAAGCATATCAACATTATCAATGCGGCACTGTCCGTTGTACTCCTGAAATTAGATGCATGCTGCATCCAGCTGTCACTGAAAGATGCAGTAGTCTGTATCGTTTCGGCATTGTGCTGAGCTCAGCAACCATTTCGATCGCAGCAGTCTTCTTCGTCGGGTCACTTTCCGCATTGCCTCCATGGGACAAGGGCATACCAAGCTTTCAGAGCCACGCAGCCACAGCACACGAGTTTTAGCCGCACACTGCTGTTTAACGTGTGAACTTCATACAACTCTGAACTTTCTCATTCTCTGGCTCCGGAGGCTCCCTCCTCCAACGGCAAAAGCCAGGACCAAGAGTCCAAACATAGCCATAAAGTGCCTGGCCTGCAAGTCAAGGAACAGAGCTCGCGCTCGCATCTATTGTGCTGAAACATTGATGAATAATTGATGAATGTTAATATATATGCAAATTATACAAAGAATTGCAAAGAGACCTTGCAGGCTTTGCACGGCACTGGCCTCTTCGTTAGAATCCTAAGCCCACGTTTGAACTGTGAAAGGCGGACGCCAGACAGGAGCTATATGAAGTCATGACAACTGTTGCATGAGAGCTGCATCTTTCCATCTGAGGCCAAGCACTGGGATCGGATAAGCCAAGCAAGAGCAGCTAGGGCTCCGAAAAGCTCAAAGCTCAGCTTGAGGCTGAAAACGACAGCGGGACGCCAAATGCATCCAACTATCTATCTATCTATCTATCTATCTATCTAATCGAATCGAATCTAATCTAATCTAATCTAATCTATCTATCTATCTATCTATATATATATTATAAATAGATATATGATATATACACTATATATGTGTGTGTCAGTATACCATCCATCAACTTTCCAAGGTGTGTGGCATACCCTCCAGTCTGGTCGCTGTGGTTTCATCTCAGCTTTGTCATCTTTAAATTATTTACATCCATGTAAATCCCCCAAGATTCCGCCAAGAAAAAACGACCACGCCACCTGGCAAACCTGGCAAAGACGAAGTCATGATAGTCATGGCCGACTTGAGCCACAGACAGTTACCAGTGTTGCGACGTGCCATCCCAAAAGTCTCCAGCATGAAATCCTCGGCACTTGGCAGACTCGCCCGCGGAAGAGTTGGAAGGACAGGCAAGACTGGGGTAGAACAGAGAAATATAGGAGAGTAAAGAGAATAACGGAGCATGTAGGAGAATACAGCGGAAATATGGGAGAGTATGATATAGGCTATAGGAGAGCACCGGAGAATATAGGAGAATATAGGAGAATAAAGGAGGATCAAAAGGCGTGCGAAGCTGGGCTGTCTCTGAAGCCGAGTTCAGCTGGGTTCAGCCACCCAGTCTTTGGAGCGTCCAGCGAAGTGGTGCAGCACAGCTGGCCTCGACAAGGACCGCAAGTCACAGAGGAAATTTCCATCATCAAGCAGATATCAAGCAGTCTCCAGGCAACCAACTCTTCTAGCCCTCGAGCGCCAACAACCTCAAGAGAGAAGACTGAAGACCAGTAATAATGTTCTACAGGAAGACAGCAGACGCACTATATATATATTATTTACTGAATTATCTATCTATTTATTTGTTTACTTATTTATTTATTTATGTATTTATTTATTTATGTGTGTGTGATTATAAATGCATCTCCGCATCTAAAATCTAAAAAATGACTGAATGCACTTGAGCATGCTTCGAAACGCGACGAGCGACACTGATGCCGCATGGGCGGCACGAATGTTCAACGCCCATTGCAGCCAGAAATTTGCAGGATCCCTAAGGATCCCACGTGATTGACATCAACCAATCGGGGATCAGCAAAGCGGAAAAAGGAAGAGTGTCTGGCACCGAAGGGGCCCTCAGCAGAGCAATTCCAAGTCTCCTTCATCTCTCTCCTTTCGGGACATGGTATCTCACGATATCTCTTTCGTGTGCTTGAATTGACTATGCCCGAAACGGCCAAGCGTTCGCTCGCACGCCACCAGCATAGCGCGTAGAGTGCAATCTGAAGTTGGCTGAGAGTCAAACCACTTGCCAAGAAATGACTATGACCCTTTATGCAATACCCAAAAATGCGTCATGACAATGCATCCATGTCGGCCTCATGGTTGCCCTTTGCATTGGGCCAAACATATTGTGCACATTCGGAATCATAGCCTCGATGCAAATCTCAGTGCGGATCTGGAAAGCCTTCATTGTTTCACTCGCTCTGCCCACCTTCATCCCCTCTTGCGTTCGCCTGGCAAAAAAAGCACCCACAAACACGGACTGCATGGGGCTCTGGTTGCAGCAAAAAAGAACTAGCTCAAGGCCTCCATGCCCAAGATCTCCAAGACAGTCTCGTCGAAGGCACCCTGATCCTTTTCAATGTTTTGCATCCATGCAGCCTGAGCCAAGCAAGCGAAACACTTTGCAAACCTTTGGATGCTCTAATCATATCTATCATGCTCCATCACGCACGCCCACCTTTTCCAACAGAAGGTCTAAGAAGAAGTGCCCCCTCTGAGAGGACCGAATCAAGACCACCTGCTTGGCCAAATTGCGGTGTCTGGTGGCTGTACCAAGGCGTGAAAGCCTGTTGAACAGTGAGGCCTGTGGGCATTGAGATGCTGGCTCCGTTGTTCAAAGTTTGCGGCTTACCAAAGTCCCGCGTTGCAACGTCCGGGGAACCGAAAGCTCCCCCTGCACCACAACTACCAAAGACTTAGGAATCACTGTGCGTCCCAAATTCTGTCTGTTCCCACCTGACCAGGCACCCAAGACAGCTGGAATGGAAACGTTCCAACCTTTCTGCATCCCATCGAGTCAATCGTGGCGTTGGGAACTGCAGATTCAACTCAACCCCTGGGATACAAGCACTCGGGAACAATCAGCTGGTCTGGGTCAACCACAAGCAAGGCCTGGCAGAATATTGGCCGGGGCCCCTGAAGAAGGGATACTGTATGACTGACAAGCATCAGCTTACAACCGCCTTGTAGTAGCTCAGGTATTTCTTGGCCTTGGCAGCGAGTTGGTGCGGCAACTGCGGCTGAGGATGGCTGAGGTGCGTGAAAAAACTTAAGTCTGGTCCTTGTTTCCTTTGCATCGAACCGTGGGTTGGACCCCGCTATCTTTTGACCCCATTGGAACTGGGTGTAGGGCAGTGAACCATCTCAACCAGTTTGGAGCGCGATGATGCGGTGGGCTGACCTCTGTACTGATGTGGCTGCGAATGTTTTCAATGCTTAAAGCTCGCGAGTAAAAGTCGTGCATGATGCTTCAGCTGGTTTGGGCCTCCGTGTCATCTGTCTCAAGAATGAAGCCCATTCCATGACCTATTGATAGGAGCAGTGGAAGATCTGAAGCTTTCATCTGATTGAGTGATGGCATTGAGTTGCTTTACAAGCTAGCACGGAGTAGCTAGAAATCCTATTGCTTGTGTTTCGATTCCAGTCTGGTCAGGACGAAACGAAGGGCATAGCAACGCCAAAGGTTGAGGAACGGCTGGTAGGTGTGGATCCTTGGCAAAAGATTTCGACAACAACATGGAACGCACCGCACCGTATATCATTTGTCGTCACTATGCCGCCGACTTGTTCGGTGTTGCCTTAGGTAGCTCTAAGGGTTCAGAGAGGCTTTGCAGGTGGATCAGGGAGCATCATGGACAACGCATTGAAGACTGATCTCCTTCACACTCCATACAGAAGCACTAGAAAGTGACCTGAAGCGTCCTGAACCGCACAAATCAAAGCCCCATGCTGCCACCAAAACAGCCACCTGCCCAGTTGTCTGTCCAGAGCCAGGGCCTACAGTGAAGTGTGCCAGGTTTGAAGGGAGAAAGTGCTGCCCTCGACATTGCAGAAACATGCGAGTTATATAAAATAGTTAAAACAGGTCAAAACGGATTGAAGTGCACCCATGGGAGGGCATCATGCGGGCACTGCGTCGCATCTAAAGTAGCTTCAAGTAGGATGGGGTCAACGGTCAAATCATATCAGGACACCGCAGCTGCCCGGGCTCGCGCCGGCACTGGGATGTGGTGCTGCAGCATGTCTGGGAAGCCTGGCTGAAGATTCCGTTTCTGGAAATGGTGTGCGGAAATTTCCCGCCAATCCGCCTGAAGCGCTCGACTTCTAATCGTCGAACCTCAGAATCTGCTTTGACCAGTGCTGGCACTGACGCCTCGCTGGTGCCGCCTTCGCGCATTGTTCCCTCCGTGCATAGACCAGCTCTCCAAGTCCGGACATGGCCTCAACCCACACCACGTCCCGTGAAGGTGCACTGCGTCACCGCCCAAAACCAGCTCCATAGCCAGATATCGGAAAAACGCATCAGACTTAGGGAGAACGTGTGAACAATATGTCAAGGTCACAAGTCTTGGAATCCAGCCCAGCTTGGTTCGCTCTCACTGATGAAACCATAGGCGCGCACTAGCCTTGCCCGAGCTTGGCATCAATGCAATCGAATGCAATTATTCCCCGAGGGTCCTTCTTACAACATCTTACCTTACCACCTCTTGCTCATCTGCTTCATATAGGTGTCACATGGTGTCAGACGCTGCGCCTGAATGTCCTTTATCATTATTATGTAATGACAACTTGCAAGGCCTCTTATTTGGCGGCGGCAGTTGTTGATTGGTTTAGGAACGGTCCGTCATCGATACCGTATGATACAGTAGTATATCACAGTCCATTCCTTCAAAACCAGGAAGATGAGGAAATGGAACTTGGCTCCGAGCAAAAGTAGTGTCTGAGTGCAGCGAGCCGTCTCTTCCAGCTCCGCTGTCAGACCCTGGAGAGACACTCTGACGCATCAGCTCTGAAGCTCACAGTGAAACTGAAGAATATCAGAATATTCATAAATTTCTTGTTTGACCAAAACATCAAAAAAGACGACCTGAAACACCGGTCCCCCACTTTGCCAGCTTCAAGGTGCTCAATCGTTCTTTTCCATGGCCTAAGTTGTTTCCACCCAAAAGCCTGAACCCGATTTGCACCTGCAATGCTAGGATGATGGCGCAAGCCTACGACACTTGAGTGCAACCGATGGAGTCTGTATCTCCGGGCGACCCTGCTTCTCGGTCTCAGGTGACACGCACTTCAACATTGAACTCAAAAACCTTGGAGGGGGATAGATATGACACCCATTTTTAGGATCTTTGAGGATCTTTCAGGAGTCATGACTCATATCACTCATATCTGCCTATGGATAACACAATAATGATGTGCAGCAGTATGCTTCCAGAACCTTCATAAATGATTTATTATCACCGGACAAGATTGGGCATTGCTTTAGCATGCTTCAGCTCCTTTGTGCCCATAAAGGTGCGTGGTGCCCGAAGCCCGCCTCTGGGCAGACTTCAGAAGCAGCTTCTTGGAAAGCCAAGCCCACAAGACCTTCTGACCTCAGATTTTAAAGTTGTGTGACATCACTGATCCGAGGATTGACGAAACAGATTCGCCTGGAAATGCTACGTGTACAAATGGAGTGCTGGAGTTCCGACGAAAGTCAAAAGAGGTACTTGACGCCATCTGTTCGCGGGTGGGAACTGTGCTTCGCCCTTCTCAGGCTTGTACAGAGACACACAGCCCTTGAGAAAGTCTGGGGAGTCATCGTGGAGGACCTGGTGGCAAGGCTCACAAATTGTCCAAGTTCCTGACAGTCATTCCAGAAGACATTGTTTCCCGACCAGGACAGGATTTGAAGGTAGGAGGGGTAGGAGGGGTAGGAGGGGTAGGAGCTGTCATGACGGTTACTGGGTGCAACTCAGGTAGGAGCAGGCTTGTCTGCTGCAGCCAACTGGATGGCAAGTTCAGCGGCCTGAAACAGCTCGTGATTTTCAACGGTCACCATCACTCCACAAATCTGCAATGGGCCCCGAGTGCAGCACCCTTGAACAGCCATTGATGACGTCGGTGCCACTAATAGCGCCCTGGCAAACTTTCCCATTTATACATGCCGGATGTTTAAAGCTTTCCACCTGGAGGAAACCAGAACTCAAACCCGACGCCTCACCCAACGGTGCTGCACAACTAGCACCGCACCTGTAGAGTGAACAAATGCATTCTGACCTCTGAGACCTCTAAGCATTGCGTTGGGCACCCTCCAAGGTTCGCACTTTCCAAATGTCAAAGCTGAGAAGCATAGCCAGTGCCACAGCTCTGGCCACATGCCGAGAGACTGCCATACGGCATAGCAGCCCCCAACATTATGTTTCTTGGATCTTCTTGGGAGATGTTCAAGCAGTTTGAATCATTGCAGTACTGGGCCCCTTGACTCTTGACCTTGGATTACTATATTTACATATATATATGTGTGTGTGTGTATTTGAATACATCTGAAAAATTGTTTTCATTGTTCCTTCATTGTTCTTTCATTGTCATTGTTTCTTCATTGTTCCTTCATTGTTCCTTGTTCACTGCATACTGTGGGAAAATGACATGAGGTGCAATAATACGGTATAGTGTCCCAGCGACAGCTGGCAAGCTCCATAGAACCCGAGTTTGTTGTGCTCAAGGAACTTCAACTGTAGAAATTTCCGGGTGTGGCATGTCTGCGTGAATATCAACTTATTTTTGGCTGGGATGTCCAATGTCCAATACAACATTGTGAGTTTTCTCTGCAGTTTGTGCATCAAATCTGCCCTGTCCTCGTGGATTTCCGTTCTGCTACATGTTTTATGCCAAAATGTGCTCCAATCCATTACCTTGAACCATCTGTCCGACACAACTTTAAACAAAAATCAAATTTGGACCAACGCGATGCATCAAATTACAGTTACAGAGTCGATCCAACTATCCCTCAGCAGGAAGCACAAGAGCACAAGATTTCCGCCTTTTCTTTGCATTTTGCTTTGGGTTTAAGCCTCGCCACTGCATAACGCTGAGCATGATGTGGCATCGCATCTTGCCAAAATAGACCCAGGAATCTTTGTAAAACACGAACCTTTACCATGTCTGTACCGTTTCCCGCTTCATGCTCCAATTCAATGTGTTTTTTATCTCCGAGTGCTGGCATCTGTCCGACCTTTGGCCCGGACTTCCGCCAAGCACTCAGGGCATGTCAGTCCTTGAAATTCGCCAACAAAGCTGCTCAAAGCGGCAAAACTTAGGGTTTCAGCCCTTCAGAGCCTTTCAGGGGGAATGGCCCAAATCATGTTATTTTTTCTTTCTCCGTGTGGAACTGCCACCATGGCTCTGTTTCAACTGCAATATCTTCAGTTTCAATTACAAGTAGTGCCCGGGCAAGCCGGGGGCGGAAGTTTCAAATTTGAAACGCTTATATAGCCTATAGAGCGGAGCAAAGGTCGTGCCTGCAGGTGACAGGCAAGCCTCGTGTGCTTCGCAGCAACAAGCTCTTGACTTTCAATCCGCAAACGCCCGACAAGCTTCCCCATCCATCTTCCGGGACACACTTCGTCCTGCAAAACACAGCATTTCGTGCATCCGCTATCTCTCAAACATGCATTTCGCGCAAGACTTCCCTCAAAAACTGAAAGTGGAAGATGTGAAAGCGAAGCTTTCGTGCGAGACTTCCCTCAAAAAGTGAACGCTGACGATGTGAAAACGAAGCTTTCGTGCGAGTCTTCCCTGAAAAAATCTAAGTGGAAGATGTGAAAACGAGGCTTTCATGCTAGACCTCCCTCAAAATCTGAAAGTGCAAGATGTGAAAACGAAGCTTTCGTGCGAGATGTCCCTCCAAAAGTGAAAATGAAAGATGTGAAAACGAAGCTTTTGTGCGAGACTTCCCTGAAAAAGTGAAAGTGGAAGATGTGAAAGCGAAGCTTTCGTGCGAGACCTCCCGTGAAAAAGTGAAAGTGGAAGATCTGAAAGCTGAAGATGTGAAAACGAAGCTTTCATGCGAGATCTCCCTCAAAATCTGAAAGCTGAAGATGTGAAAACGAAGCTTTCGTGCGAGACCTCACTCAAAATCTGAAAGCTGAAGATGTGAAAACGAAGCTTTCATGCGAGATCTCCCTCAAAATCTGAAAGCTGAAGATGTGAAAACGAAGGTTTCGTGCGAGACCTCACTCAAAATCTGAAAGCTGAAGATGTGAAAACGAAGCTTTCATGCGGGATCTCCCTCAAAATCTCAAGCCGAAGCTTTCGTGCGAGACTTCCATATTGTGATAGTGATGTTGTGATAATCGTGATATTGTGATAGTGGTGATAGTGGTGATGTTGTGATAGTGGTGATATTGTGATAGTGGTAATATTGTGATTTTGGTGATGTTATGATAGTGGTAAAAGTGGTGGTATTTTGGTGATGTTGTGATAGTGACTGATAGTGGTGATGTTGTGATGGTGGTGATATTGTGATAGTGGTTATATTATGATAGTGGTGATTTTGTGATAGCGGTGATGTTGTGATAGTGGTGTTGTTGTGATAATGGTGATTTTGTGATAGTGGTGATATTGTGGTAGTGGTTATATGGTGGTGATATTGTGATACAGTAGTGGTGAATGTGATTGTGGTGATATTGTGATTGTGGTGAAATGGTGATAGTAGTGATATTGTGATAGTGGTAGTTGTGACTTGTGAAAATCCGTTACGCGGAAGTTAGACTTTCAAACTTCCTTTGACAATTACCCGCTCATTGACCCGGTTCCCCACAAGAAACTTGAGGCTGGCATCAGGACTGGAAAAATCCGCTTTTGCTCAGCAAAAGCAAATGAATCATTGAAAGTTATTTGGCCAGCCAGGACATGGCTTTTGCGACAAAGAAGAAACGCGAAAAGTCTCACTGCACTGCACCGCCTCCATTGCCTGAAACAGCCACATAGCCAGTTCTGAGGCTCGTCGCTTTTTCTCGCAACACATTTCACCTCATAAGACAGAAACGACCACATACGACCACCAGCCTTCTCCTGGCTCAAGCTCAAATATCCGTTTGACCTTTGAGCTTTCGAGCACACGCTGACATTTCGGTGCATGTTGCTACCGGCAGATTGTTGAAAATGTTGAAGGTCTAAAGGGTTCTTTGACTTCTGCAGGTCGGTTTGCACGCCTTTCTCTTGAGGACTTGATCGGTTCTCGTTTCTGATCCGACCCACTTTGTGGTTCGGTTGAAAATTCTATTCCCACAATTTCTTGCCATGTCCTACGATCTGAACTAACTCGTGTTAAATTTCGTCCCGGCAAGTTTTGACTGCCTGCCCGCATGGCAAGAAAAATGTCGGTGCATCTGTGCCGTCAGGCTGGGTCCAAAGATGAAAGATCATCTTGCTTGACTATTGAAGATGCTGATCCCATCTTGGGCGAAAATCACATGGCGCTTGGGTCCATCTATCGAACACTTTGGTCCAGCAAGCTTCTGTGCAACCAGTGATATCAAAGGATGTTCTGACACCTTTCCTGGCCATACAAGCGGACGCCCTTACTTACCCCATCCACCTAGTAGTTACCCCATCCGCAAGGCACACCGAGTTACCCCAGGGCAGACAATAGTTACCCCAGGTTTCAAATCCCCAAGGCACAGCGGCTCAGATGCATCATGTTTTGAAGTCGTTGCAAACTTTGAATCATGTCCCTAGCTTGCATTTAGCTATGCCCGGAATCAGAAAATGGGAAGGTGCGACCTGTCAACTTGGAGTCAAATCCCAATGGCACACCGCCAAAAGCAATTCCAGGTCAAAAGCTCAGCCAAGCATTGAAACAGCATCACCAGCTTGCGTTCTGGTATCTCCAAAAGAAACAAAATAAAGGGTGTTCATTCTCATAGAAGCAAAAAATCCCAATGGCACACTTGCAGGAGAGTGGAAGACTTTCACGAAGTCGTTGCAAACTTTGAATCATGTCCCTAGTTGCATTTAGCTATGCCCGGAATCAGAAAATGGGAAGGTGCGACCTGTCAACTTGGAGTCAAATCCCAATGGCACACCGCCAAAAGCAATTCCAGGTCAAAAGCTTAGCCAAGAATTGAAACATCATCGCCAGCTTGCGGCTCTGGTATCTCCAAAAGAAACAAAATAAAGGGTGTCCATTCTCATAGAAGCTAAAATCCCAATGGCACATTTGCAGGAGAGTGGAAGACTTTCACGAAGTCGTTGCAAACTTTGAATCATGTCCCTACCGTAGTTGCATTTAGCTTTGCTAGGAATCATATGGGAAGGTGCGACCTGTCAACTCGGAGTCAAATCTGACTGGCACACCGCCAAAAGCAATTCCAGGTCAAAAGCTTAGCCAAGCATTGAAACAGCATCACCAGCTTGCGCTCTGGTATTTCCAAAAGAAACAAAATAAAGGGTGTTCATTCTCATAGAAGCAAAAAATCCCAATGGCACACTTGCAGGAGAGTGGAAGACTTTCACGAAGTCGTTTCAAACTTTGAATCATGTCCCTAGTTGCATTTAGCTATGCTAGGAATCAGAATATGGGAAGGTGCGACCTGCCAACTCGGAGTCAAATCCCAATGGCACACCGCCAAAAGCAATTCCAGGTCAAAAGCTTAGCCAAGCATTGAAACAGCATCACCAGCTTGCGTTCTGGTATTTCCAAGAGAAACAAAATAAAGGGTGTCCATTCTCAAAAAAAATAAAATCCCAATGGCACACTTCCAGGAGAGTGGAAGACTTTCACGAAGTCGTTGCAAACTTTGAATCATGTCCCTAGTTGCATTTAGCTATGCCCGGAATCAGAATATGGGAAGGTGCGACCTGTCAACTCGGAGTCAAATCCCAATGGCACACCGCCAAAAGCAATTCCAGGTCAAAAGCTCAGCCAAGCATTGAAACAGCATCGCCAGCTTGCGTTCTGGTATATTAGAATTTCCAAAAGAAACAAAATAAAGGGTGTCCACTCTCAAAAAAAACTAAAACCCCAATGGCACACTTGCAGGAGAGTGGAAGACTTTCACGAAGTCGTTGCAAACTTTGAATCATGTCCCTAGTTGCATTTAGCTATGCCCGGAATCAGAATATGGGAAGGTGCGACCTGTCAACTCGGAGTCAAATCCCAATGGCACACCGCCAAAAGCAATTCCAGGTCAAAAGCTCAGCCAAGCATTGAAACAGCATCGCCAGCTTGCGTTCTGGTATATTAGAATTTTCAAAAAAAACAAAATAAAGGGTGTCCACTCTCAAAAAAACTAAAACCCCAATGGCACACTTGCAGGAGAGTGGAAGACTTTCACGAAGTCGTTGCAAACTTTGAATCATGTTCCTAGCTTGAATTTAGCTATGCTAGGAATCAGAATTTGGGAAGGTGCGACCTGTCAACTTGGAGTCAAATCTCAAGGGCACATCGCCAAAAGCAATTCCAGGTCAAAAGCTTAGCCAAGCATTGAAACAGCATCACTAGCTTGCCTTCTGGTATGCACAAAAGATCCAAAAGAAACAGAATAAAGGTTTCCATTCTCATGAGAGCCAAAACCCCAATGGCACACTTGCAGGCGAGTGGATGACTTTCACAAAAAAAGTTTGAAATTAATCACATTGAAATCACACCCTGCCCTGCTGTAAGGGAATCCGAGACATATATGGAATATGGATGTAATATCAGAATCATGACTCTGGAAAGGTTTTTGGACGAGGTACCGGACGAGATACCGGACGAGGTACCGGAATTACATTTTGCCATCCCAGCCAGAACCCACCCCACGTATCCCCACGTCAGATCAAAAACAGTAAACGGTGAAAACGATGTGGATAGGTCCGGAAGATGAGGTGGAGGAGGATGATGTTGCGGAAGATGAGGTGGAGGATGATGATGTGGAGGATGATGAGGTGGAGGATGACGATGTTGAGAAGGAGGAAGATAATGATGTTGAGGATGATCATGTTGAGGAGGAGGATGAAAAGGATGATAATTAATGTTGCGGAAGAGGAGGTGGAGGAGGAGGATGTTGCAGAAAATGAGGTGGAGGATGACGATGTTGAGGATGATGATGTTAAGGGGGAGGTCGAGGATGATGCTGAGAATGATGATGTGGAGGAGGAGGATGATGATACTGAGGAGGAGGAGGAGGAGGAGGAAAAGGAGGAGGAGGAGGACCGATCACAAGACCCCCGAGTGTGTACACACTGTGTGGGAAACTCACGTTGCTCCAGGGATTGTTAGGGGGCAAATGGATATAACTTGATATAACTCATGTTTGCCATGTTAAGAATCCCTGCGTGCCTATGCGTTGTGCTGTAAAGATCATACCAAATAACAAATCATGTAGTAATTCATTCCAGTGGTTGTGTCACTTCCTCCGCATGGCACACCGAGATGAGACAACAAAGTGCTATCTGAGACAAGAAAGGGCTTTCACCCAGTACCATCATACCATCCGTATGTGGTTGTCCTGCCACAGCTTCAAAGATTGATCCACTGGTGTCCAAATTGGGCCCTGACAAAAATAGGCCTGTGGATGGAGCTGCCAAGTGACAGCCAAAACCAAGACTATCTAAGACATTGCTAAACAGCCCTCACAACGCTGGCCACCATCTCTCGGCGTCCAGTGCTGTCCTTCTGTCGATGACCACCTTTGCAGGGGAGGTCGAGGAAGGGCGGAATGCAGAATGAGAGGTCGCACTGAGCAAAGAGATGCATCTTAGGCATCTTTGATCCCAGTATAAAGTCCGACGGTGAGCGGTTCAAATGTCCACATAGTCTAGCAGGAACATGAATCTTCATGCATAAACCGCAGGAATATATACTTGTTGTTTTAGCATTTTTGCATCTGAGATTCTCTCCATGGTAGTCCTGGGCTTTTCATTTGACAGTTTGACAAAGGGAGACATCAATGACGAAAACAGCGGATCCTTCAGGTGTAGCAATTCATCTGGGCAGTGAGACAGTCATGATCATAAACTTCGCCTAACATGGTGTAGCAATTTCTTGTCCTTGACAACAAGGAAGGGTCGCAAAATGTCACAAATAAATCACTGCAGTATATTCATGTATATTCTATAACACTGTTTGACCAAACCGTCAGGGAAAATCCTGCCCTGCAAGGCATTGAACTGGGGCCGCCCACAGCAATTCTTGCAGATCTTGCAGCAAAGGTGCGGAGACCGCCATCGCTTCGGAGATCCTGTCCAAGAGCATCTCGGAGGGGCCAGGGCAACATCGCCATCGGCTCTCTGTCGCCTGGCAGGAATATTTTTTGCAATGGAGTGATGCTGCGTATCGAAGCTGAAGTGGCATGTCGCATGTCGCATGAAACGATGATTCTGTGGAAGAAATTATTTCAGTATTTTGGTATTTGTTCTTATCGGTACTGTGCTGGCCCTTGCCTGCAGCAAGATGCCCCCTGGCACTCAATGTCGTCATAGAATGTTCCAAGCCCAGAAGAAGAAACTGAAACCCAATACACTGTAGATGAATGCCAGCAAAGGACATTGCCAAAAACTCGTTGACAATCCAAACAACGAGAGTGTCCAGCCCGCGGCATTTCTGTCTACGAATTGTACATTTAGAAGTTTCAAGCACTTTGTGCATCCAAGCTGCAAAATAACATTCAATCTGAAGGATGCACGCTGAGTTGGCACCTGTGCTCGTCCATTCAAAGGCGAGCCGTGTGAAACATGATGAGAGATGAGAGTGTGATTTCGGAAAAAGATAGCAACAAAATATGTGCAGCAAAACCCTAGCACCAGCGCCTCCGAGGTTGCTACAGCTGAACTCCCAAGCGAGGCAGGAAGTGTACTGAACCTAGAACAAATGGTGTAAACACCCTGTTCAAAACACAAAGATGATCCACATGGAATTGGGACGCAGGATCCGGGATCTGAACGCCTCAGGCTCCTACTGACTCTCATAATTTCTCAGTGAGGCAAACTCCATGGGGCTCAAGCGGCTCAAGCACAAGAAACGTGCAGAGTGTCAGAAGCTGAAAGCCTCTGATCTCATGCTTGTCCCTTAAGCCAAGACGGCAAAAACGGCCAAAACACTGACCGCGGCTGCGGCTCGATATGAGAAGAGCGTTAATTTGCAGAGATGACATGATGGAAGTGAAAAATGCATATATAATTAGATTATGCCTTGTTGATCACACCGCATGCAGGGTCAAGAAGGCATTACCAAACCAAGCACTCTCTGTCAAGAACTGCTGCATATGTAGAATGGTAGGGCAGGATTTGATGAGGCAGTGGCCGTGGTGCCTCTTGGCGAAGTTATCTCTACCACCATTCGCTTCATATCTCCATCCGTCAAATACCTCAGGCAACTGCGATTCAGCTACCATCCAAGGTAAGGATGAGTCCATCAAAAAGGCTGAGCTGTGTCGAGCACCTTCTGGTCTCCGCGAGGAACTCCATCGAAGCACTGTAGCTCCTGCTGCTTTGATGATTTTGACAACTGGTCAGCGTAGCCCGCGCTTTATCAACAGCGACCTCAAGAGCACCGTCAAAATTCTCTTTACTGTATAGCCCTATAGTTTAGTAACTTAGCAGTTTGGGAGCCAATACTGAACACTGAAATGGACTGCATCCCAACAACAAGGGGTTGGCCAAAAAGCAATTGTTGCGTGTGAAGGTCAGCTCTCCTGACTAACAGCGATAAGCTGGCAACATACTTGGCAGTGGCAAAGAATCGAAGGATGGCTTGTGCCATTCAAAGGAGGACAAACCTTTCTAAGCCTGGGATGGGCTTTCGAGAGTAGAAACCTGCTGAGCTACGAGCCCACTTGGGGTCTATAAACGTTTGCCTTCCAGGACAGCAAACTCAGCCATAGGCTGTAGGATTGGAAGAGCACGTGGTGCCACCATGTTTTCTGCAAGGACCACGAAACTCAAACTGGCACCGCAAGTGATTTTTCCTGAAAGCAACGCAGGAGTCTGCTGTGAGCAGCCTTTGGCACGCAGCAGATGATAAAGTAGTTGGGTTGAAACTGACTTCATGCCATCTACCTTCTTCCCACCAGTTCATCACATTCCCATGGCAGAATCGGTCGCCAATCACAGCATCCCCAGAAGGCCACCTCCTGTTGGGAACTGACATTGCATGCGCAAAATGTGTCACAGTATTAACAATGTGTAATTCTGTGCGTTCGTCATTTCGGGCAAGGCAAAAAGGAGCGCGCAGAGCCGATCCGATTGCGCCTGAAGTGTGACTTGTCGGCTTTCTTGCTGGGCTTGTTGCAACTTGGTGCAGCAGCGAACAGCTCGCGCCCGGCTGTCAAATTTTGCTTCCCCGGGTCCTGACATCAACAACACTGGTGAGAGCAAATCCAAGAGAATCAAAGATGTCGAAAATGTCGAAGACAGTGGTACTTCAAAAACAGGTTAAGGAATCGACTTCAGCTCCGGCCGGCAACTCTCCCACCGGCCTTCTGATGGCGGACTCTGCTCTCGGCAAATTCCGTCTTGAAGGGAGGTGTTGAAGCGCTGCCGCAAGTACCTTGGGCACCCGTGGCTATCATTGAAATGCAGCAAGCTCATCCGGTGATGAGTTGTACGATTTGACAGACAAGTTGGGGAAGGTCTGCTTGCCCTTTTTTACATTGCCACTACTAGAGCAACTTGTTGATCAAAATAATCATGACTGAAATGCAGCTGACAAAGTTTCGCAACAGGTCCCACAAGTAGAAGTTTGCCAATCTCAATGCATGGGCATGGCCAAGTTTCTGCTGGGCAATCCAAAGTCTATTGCTCCCAGTGCCAGCCTCAAGGACAACATTCTGCAAACGGGTGGAAGCATCAGATCCTAATCTGCAAGCTCCCAGTCTGCCAGTATGCACAAGCAAGTCACCCAATGGACAATCAGCGGGTTCCTCGGCTTGAACAGCGACTGCACCTTGCAGTCAATGCAGATGTGCAATCACATCAAGCTGCCACAAACTCCTGACAAGTTGCATTGCGGGCTTGCTGTTCCAGCTGACGAGGTGCATCTGCTGCAAACTAAAGCCATGCCCAACAAAGAGGTCACTGGGAACAAAGTTCACCTCATGTCATACATGCTCAGAAGAACACAAAGGAAAGCTCAAAGAATCCCACATAACGCAAACACTCCCACAGTTTGTTATTTTTGCAGTCAATTTTATGATTGTGTCTGTGTGTGATGCGCATATCAAAGCTCCTGCCCAGTGGCATCGAGACGCTCTGGATCTACGAAGGTGACAAGTCTACTTCGGCGCTGGCGATATGGCCCGATCATATCACTCAGCACGGACTGCCAGCAGTCACAGTACATGGCATACGGCACCAAGCCATTCCTCAAATTCACAGAGAAAGTCTTGGCACTGGCCACACTGGCCACAATTACCACACGGCAACAGCTTTCCGAAGCCGTTTTGACGGAGCCAAGTGACGGAATGGGGAAAAGATAGCGCAAGCACTGGGATCTGTATCCTGGGCTCCCAAGCTGCTGCATCTCCAAACCTGGCGCGACTCGAGCAACTGTGGCACATGAAGGAGCCGTTTGCAATCGCTGCAATCTGCCACACCCAGCCTATCAGCTCCAAAACCGACTCGGCCAAAGCACTCTGATCCCAGGAAACAGGCCACCAGGCCTTTTGTCGCCAGAGTTTCCTCGGAAGAGAATTTGGTCAACTCCATTTTGGCCACACAGTCGCTGGAAAGCCTTGGCAAATTCTTTCAAATAAGCAAACATAACGGTATCTTGGCCAATATGAGAACCTGCTGGCGAAAGCTCAGTTGAACTATCAATTGCACCAAATTGTGGCACAAAGTTGCACGGTGCTGTCTTGCCCTTCAACTGATATCCATCAACCGCGAGTCTCCATCCCAATCTCAGAGAGTTCAACAGAAGCACGATTAGGTACTTCAGCTCGCATTTCATACCAAATTCCGCCCAAAAAAAGTCTTGTACACAATCTTATAATGCATATCTAACGTATTCAAACATGATCAAACTATGACTATGACGAATCTGCCTAGCATCAGAAACAAACGCGCTGCTCTGGTCGGACGCACAGCTATGAAGCCACTATTCAAACCTAAGCCAGGTCTAGGAGCACTTCAAAACCGGTGAAATTGAAAAGCGAAGCCTCGAGTTCCATCCAAGTAGCATTCAGTTCCGGGCCATGAATCTCGAACAAAGATATCCTGAATATGTGGCCATCATCTATCCAGCAGGGGAACCGAAATCCAGGAATATGTGGCACTCAACGACACCTTTTCTGCCCTTTCATGTGGACCCATGCTGCCCAGATTCACTGGCACGGCGGGAGTGCATTGAGACAAGTAGCGGGACCAAACCCCAGTTCAAGCTGTCTGGGCGTATTGTGACGTCCAAGTCCAAATACACGACCATGCTCGAATTGTCCTGCATTCTGGAGCATTCTGAGCGCATCTTCTTCTCCAGTCTGGAGAGAAGCTCTACTAGTCTTTTGAGGTGATCTGAGATACTGTTTGGTTCCTTTTTCTGTCTTCTGATTCTCTTCCTATCCTGGTCGTTGAAAGATTTCCCAAATGGAAACCCTGTCAGCTGTGGTGTGGAGCCACCAATCGCACACAACCCAGACTTGGAGGCCTACAAACAATATTCGAGGAATTGCACAAGCAGAGCACGCTCTTATGGCAGGTTCCACAGCAGCCCCTTTGGACATTCTTTGCTTGTCGTGCTCTGGAACGCGAATTGTATGAGTTGGTGAGTTGACGAGCTGACTGGATAAATGAAAAGAACTAGAGACTTGCCTGCACTGAGCTTCATGGCTGGGTGGTTCAGCAAGCGCGTTTCCCAATGGATAGTGGGACATATGCAGAAGCTCAGACTAAGCCTGAACATGCCTGAACTAAGCGCTGCCCCAAACACAATGCCCACATGAACAGAAGCCGAACATTCACATAAAAAAGAGCACGTGGCAATGCGATGCAATGCAATGCTAGTTCAAGTCTCCACTTGGCAGTCCAGCTGACGCTCGATAGACCAAATCTTTGTCTGCTTCTCTGGTTCATCGAAGTATATGTTCACCTTGGCTGCTGGGTTTCACAAAGATATGCACTCATGGCTTGAAGCCGAGACAGCCAAGACAGCCAAGACAGCCAAGACAGCCAAGACACAAGACCTTCCAGGGATGCAAGTTCGACTGCTCTGCTAAGTTTGTTCCTCTGCAAATCCCCAATCAAGTGTCGCAAATAGTCCTGCAGGCAATATTTAGAGTTCGACCAGGTCCGCAACAATCAGTCCAAAATCCAGGTTGGCTATTCTTTTCGTCATGATTCGATGAGTAATAAACACCACGCATCTTCGTCCATCGCACGTGCCGTGTGTCCTCTTCCCGGGCTTCTCGGGCGGCATTGCCAGTGGTGCCTTCCCTCCAGCGACCAACAAAGAAGTAGTTGCCTGTGAGGCCAAGAGTTCTGTGGCGCAACGGCCATGGCCCGCCGTCAGCCGCAAAGCGCATGCCTGTCGGCAGCTACTGGTGCTCCATATTTCCATTGGCAAAGATCGATGAGGATGTGGGTAGACATCAAAGACGTAGAGTACAGTCTATTGTCCATAGTCTATAGTCTATATATGTCTATATATATATATATTTTTGCATAGCCGAAGGAAGTTTAGAAGTCAAACTTCCGACAATATGGACAAATGGAAAAGCAGAGGTGGGAAGAGTCAGATAAGAGAAGAGCAGAAGACAGAAGATCAAAGAAGAGAAAGAGTGAGAAGAAAGAACATGGAGGTGCGGGAAAAGGTAGAAAAGTCGCGATTCACTGTGTCTTGTGGCTCCGGAGGGTCGAAAAGTAGGCTCGCTAAAGCGGCGGGTGCGGAGCCACCTGGCCAGATAAGAGATGAAAAATTGCACACCGTTGTGGCGCGAAGCACATTTGGAAGTCAAAATGTACAAAACACACCATGTTCGGACCACTTTTGGAAGTGGAGATGTCGAAAAAGTGCACGCTGTTGTGGCGCGAAGCACATTTTGAAGTCAAAATGTACAAAACACACCAGGTTCGGGCCACTTTTGGAAGTTGAGATGATGAAAAAGTGCACGCCGTTGTGGCACGAACCACATTTCGATGTGAAAAGTGGAAAAAAACTGAGGGGTCTGGACCACTGTTGGACGTTCGGATGCCGTTTTGCGTGGCAGGCATAAGGGATTCTGCACCTTGCCAAAAGACAGCAAAACGCGAGGGTTTGGTAGCAGTTTCAACTACAACCGCCGCTACACTACAGTCCACTACATTACACTACAACTACATTCCACTACACTACATTACACTAACCACAACGACAACTACAACTACAACTACACTACATGACACTACACTACACTACACCGCTACACTAGACTAATTGCACTACACTACACTACATAACATTACACTAAACCTACAACTACCACTGCAACTACAACTACAACTACATTACACTACACTACACAAATTACATTACACTACGCTACACTACACTGCACTACATTACACTACACTACATTACACTACACTACACTAACTACAACCACAACTACACTACACTACATTACACGACACTACACTAAGTACATTACACTACACTACACTCCACTACACTACACTCCGCTCCACTACACTCCACAACACAACACTACACTCGATTACACTACACTGCACTACACGACACTACTCTACACTAACTACAACGACAGCTACAACTTCAACTGCAACTACAACTACGCTAAATGACACCACACTACACTAATTAATTACATTACACTACACTACACCACACCACGCTACACTACACTACACTATCCACAACTACAGCTACAACTACGACTACGCTACTTTCTACACTACACTACACTAGACTACACTACACTACCCTACATTACATTACATTACATTCCACTACGCTCATTGCACCACCACAAACGCAACTGCAACTACACTACGCTCTAATTACACTACACCACAAGTACAACTCCACTACCTACAATGGGACTACAATCTACAACTACAGCTGCACTCCACCACACTACATCCAGCAGTTGTGGGTGAGGTGACCGATCAGGTGACCACTGCAACCATTGTAATCATTCCAAAATACACAACTACCACCACCTTTCAGTCCATCAGTGGATTCGCTCTGCCATCCGTGATTCACAAAAACCAAGCTCTCGTATAGGTTTCATATGTTTGAAACTTCCGCCACCGCCTTGTGCGGTACTACTTGTATATACTGTATATTAATTATGCAATGAACCAAATGCAAGACCAGGGGCACACACTTTTGGATCATTCGCACCATGCGTCACAACATACACTTTCAGTATAGAATTTAGACGTATCACGTCCATACCGTCCTGGTCCATTCCCATATCTTTGGTGGTCTTTACTGTGCAGCAACTAGCCTCGTTTTGAGGCATAGCACCGCAGCTGACGAACAAAAGGTAGAACTGGCCGGGCGGAACAGTTAAAGACTCAGCAGAGCAGCTTGGATTCCAAACATTTTGAAGCACAGCATCGCAGCCAAGACACCGAAAGGTTGCTGAAAGTAGCCCGGGCGATCTGCAGATAGCAACAACACTGACGAACTCTCTGCGGGTGCTTGCCGCTCCTATTGAGTTCAGCGGCAGTCCAAGACTCACCCTCCAGGCTTACAATGGTATCTGATTCAGAAAAGAGAAAGGTTGCCGTCCTGAGGTCCGCCAAAGGGACTGATTGAAGAAGTCATCTTTAGACCCTGAAGCTCCATGGAGCGGAAATATGCCTTGGCGATGACCCAGCAGTCTCTGAAATTGCGGCAGTAACCGAAACTCCTTTGGAAGAAGCATCGGCATCATTCAACATCTATATACGACTCTGAGACACGCAGTAAAGTGGAGGCAAGCATCCATCCTCTTCGAAACAGCGTTCCAGAGAGTCTCCCAAACAGCCCTGCGCTTTTCTGTTTCGAAGAATTGGCCTCTGCCCAACCCACAAGCATCCAAATAAACAAAGCATGTCATATGAGTCATATGATATGATACATATGTATATGCGCTTATAATACGCACCTTTTATCAATCTTGCACTGATTGCTGGGGACATGATGGACATGACCATCAAGATGGGATTTAAGTTGCCGCAGTTTTGGGCCTGTGGGAGCTCCAAATAGAATGGCAAGGAAAGACCAGGAAAAGCTGCAACTTCTCACCGTTGTGCAGTTGTATAGCCGCCGAGCCTTTCCAACAACAAAACTGATTGGGCAAATAGGAGTGGAAAAATGATTTCAGAGGGAATTTGTTATATTCTTTATCCTTTGCCGCCAAGCTGCCAAAGCATGGGCTCCGCGAAGCCAAGATTTGGGAGCTTGGGCTTTGACAAGCCTTGTGGTTGACAATGAGAGAAAATCTTTCAAACGCGCACAATGTCTGGAACTTGTAAGAAACATGCTGGGATTTGCTTCTTTGAAAGCTTTGGCATCCCCGTCTGCAACTCTAGTCACTAGTCAGTTTAGGCCACAAAACATCCAAAATCAAGGATGCGCACAAAGACGTGCTTTCAGATGACAAATGTCTTCAATTGAAACCAAGCGGCTCACCAGTATTCACAAGGCCCAAAGGCTTTATGGAGATATTCGCCGGAAAGGACTGTACATGAGCAGTGCCACTGGTCGCCTGGCAACCTTCCCGAACTTCAGGCCATTGCAAGGGCAACCTTAGCTCTAAAGTCATTTGAATGTCTTGGTGTCAGGCCATCACCACATCTAAGAGTATTTTAAGTACTTTAAAAGAAATTAGCTCCCTGCCAGTATGGCTCCAGAACTGCGGGGCAGGCCGGGTCCTCATGAAACACTAAACGTGCCATTGCTTGCCAGCACTTGCCTTTGATTCACTTCAAATGTCTGAAAGTTTGGATGGAAAAGATGAAGTCAGATGAAGTTCTCCAGAAGATTGATGAAGAGGATGGCTTTCGACAGCATCCAACCAGCGAAGCTTTGGGCTCGCCATGTGGGGCAGGCATGGCCGAAAAGGATACAGATGATGGAGTCAACACACACAAACGTCAGTAGCCTGTCTTGAAGGTCACAATCTGCTTTCAGTTTCCTTGCCTTGCAGGATTTACCATCAGAGATTGCTGGAGCCGAAAAGTGTTAATCAGTTAATCAAATCGTGCAACCTCTCTGCAGCACATCCTGGCTTGTACTGCCAGCGCACTGCTCACCAAACACCTGCTTTGAACGCCCTTGATGAAAATGTGGACTGGTTCAAGATTCAAACGGCAGGATTGGGAAGGCCTTCCAGAGTGATCTCTGCAAGACTGAACCTTGCTGCAGGATGTGGCAGCTCAGGCAGAGAAACTAATCAAACCTGAATGAAGGCCCTTTCCTCTGCCCATGCAACATGCTCGACGCAAACCGATGAGAATGGCACCCCACCACCAGCGCGAAAGATGGTCTTTACCTGGGCCTTGCAAAGCAACAGTTTACTAACTCTTGCCATCAGCAGCGGTTCGAGCACTTCCTTGCACTCACACCAGCATCAAGCAGCGCCTTCAACTCATTGGCAATCTCAAACCATACTCCGTTCCTGTGTATCGAACTGTCTCAACCGCTCACGGAGAATGCGGAGATCCACACCACAAAGGCCCAAACTGATTGATTCTCTGCCGCTGCTGATGGACACCTGAGCCCATGCCACAAGACTTCCAAGACCAATTCTTCCGGGGGCATCCGACAATTTGGGTTTCTTTGCTGCAGCTGGTATTGCTACTGCTCTTGCTACTGGTCTTCTGCTGCTCATGCGATTGCTGCAGCTATGATGAAAATGCGCTGGTCTCAAGAGCATTTTTCAGGCAATTGTGCGTTTCACCTTTTTCCTACGGACATCTAAGGTGCGTGCCAAAGTGGTTCTTGGCAGCATCACGCCTAAATTCTTCCTCCACGCCCATTTCCTCCAGGAACCTGGATGGGCGTCCGGGCCCTAACAGCCCAGCCAAGCCCTCAAATTCTCCGCAAACATTGTTGTCTTCGAAATGAATAAGTTTCAAAACCTAGCGCAAGCACGGGCAAAACTCATAAAGTCTTTATCGTCCGCCTGGCATTTTTTGTTGAGGTTCCTCAAGCTGGGTTGTTTAAACCAAAGGCCCCTACCTACTGGAAAGCACCTAAGATGGCACCCAAACCCACACCTGGACCAAACAGGCCAAACCGCATTTTCGCATTTTCTTCTCCCAAACAAAGCAAACAAAAGTCACGACCGCCAGATTATATGCACGAAATAAAAAACAAGATGAAGCCCACGAACCCGAATGCTCACACGTATGTTAATGGTACAGATGTCAAAACACATGGATATGCAGTCACGCACAATACCTTTCTGCAATAGTTTATTTGAACAGTCTTGTACATGTTTCCCTTGTTACCAGTCTGCAGTGTGGAGTGGAAAGTGTAGAGTGTGGAGCGTGGAGTGTGAAGTAAGGAGTGTGGAGTGTAAAGTATGCAGTGGGGAGTGTAGAGTGTGTAAAGTGTAGAATGCGGAGTGTAATGTGTAGAGTGTGGAGTATGGAGTGCAAAGTGTAGAGTGTGGAGTGTGGAGTGTTGTGTGTAGAGTGTGGAGTGAGGAGTGTAAAGTGCAAAGTGTGGAGTGGAGTGTGGAGTGTAAAGTGAGGAGTGTAAAGTGCGGAGTGAGGAGTGTAAAGTGGAAAGCGTGGAGTGTAAAGTGGAAAGCAGTGTAAAGTGTAAAGTGTGTGAGTGTAGAGTGTAGTGTAGTGTAGAGTGTAAAGTGTAGAGTGTGGAGTGTGGAGTGTAAAGTGTGTGTAAAGTGTAAAGTGTGGAGTGAGGAGTGTAAAGTGTAAAGTGTGGAGTGTGGAGTGTAAAGTGTGGAGTGTGGAGTGTGAAGTGTGGAGTGTGGAGCGTAAAGTGTAGAGTGTGGAGTCTGGAGTGGAAAGTGTAGAGTGTGGTGTGTAGAGTGTGGAGTGTGGAGTGTAAAGTGAGGAGTGTAAAGTGTGGAGTGAGGAGTGTAAAGTATAAAGTGTGGAGTGTGCAGTGTACAGTAAAGTGTGGAGTGTGGAGTGCGGAGTGTGGAGTGCAAAGTGTAGAGTGTGGAGTGTGGAGTGTAGAGTGTGGAGTGCGGAGTGTAAAGTGTAAAGTGTGGAGTGTGGAATGTAAAGTGTAGAGTGTGGAGTGTGGAGTGTGGAGTGGAAAGCGTAGAGTGTGGTGTGTAGAGTGTGGAGTGTGGAGTGTGGAGTGTAAAATGTAAAGTGTGGAGTGTAGAGTAAGGAGTGTGCTGTGTAAAGTGTGGAGTGTGGAGTGTAAATTTTAGAGTGCGGGGTGTAAAGTGTAGAGTGAGGAGTGAGGAGTGGAAAGTGTAGAGTGTAGTGTAAAGTGTGGAGTGTGGAGTGTAAAGTCTCAGGTGAGGAGTGAGGAATGTAAAGTGCAAAGTGTGGAGTGTAAAGTGTAGAGTGTGGAGTCTAAAGTGTAAAGTGTGTGGAGTGCGGAGCTTCCCCCATAGACACGGCGACGCCACAGGAAAACCAGAGACTCGAGACGAGACACGTGGGTGCAAAAAAAACGAGCATTTCGTTCGAGACTTCCTCCAAGCTTGATATTTTCGACACGTTATCAAACAGGTTGGAATGTCACAAAGTGTCACGCCTGCCACGCAAAACGACATGACAACCTGCTTGGACACATTCGAATAGATGTTTTCCAGCTTCCCCCATAGACACGGCGACGCCACAGGAAAACCAGCGACTCGAGACAAGACACGTGGATGCAGAAAAACCAGCATTTCGTTCGAGACTTCCTCCAATTTTGACATTTTCAACACGTTATCAAACAGCTTGGAATGTCACAAAGTGCCGCGCCTGCCACGCAAAACGACATGACAACCTGCTTGGACACATTCGAATAGGAGAGGTTTTCCAGCTTCCCCCATAGACAAGGCGACGCCACAGGAAAACCAGCGACTCGAGACAAGACACGTGGATGCAGAAAAACCAGCATTTCGTACGAGACTTCCTCCAATTTTCACAGTTGGCAACATGACAAAAGGACAAGTTTTGCAGCTTCCCCCATAGACACGGCGAGGCCACAGGAAAACCAGAGACTCGAGACGAGACAGGTGGGAACACCAAAACGAGCATTTCGTGCGAGACTTCCTCCAATTTTCACACTTTGTAGCTTCAAAATCGACGTTTTCCTACGAGTTTTCCTTAGAACCGGAAAAATTGCAACCTCAAAATCAATGTTTCGTGCGAGGCTTCCGTCAATTTTCGGCACATCGCACAAAATGCCACGACTGCCACGGAATTTGCACCTTGTCGCCACTTGACGCAGCCCTGCCAATGCGATTTGCAAAAAACACGCAACACGGCACGTCGAAAGTGCTGCGCCTGCCACGAAAAATGACGATGGACACGTCCAAAGTGCTGCGCCTGCCACGAAATCTGCAACACATCTTCTGAAAACGTCGCAAAAGTATTGCGCCTGCCACGCGAAACGACTTTCGACACGTTCCAGAACACGTCTGAATGTCACGAAGTGCCACGCCTGCCACGCGAAACGAAGCAACCAGACGTCTGAAACCTCCAAAAAGGACCACCTCTGCAAAACTTCCCATAGGCACGGCCATACGGACCTCGTACGAACGGTTGCGAACGGTTGCGGACGGTTGCGGACGGTTGCGAACGGTTGCGGACGCGGACGCAACGTCGAGCGAACACACTCTCAACCCCCAGACCCCCAGAGTGAAACGGGAACCCTTGCTACACATTCGGGAATCAAACTGGATGGGGATGGGTTGATGAATGGATGTCCGAAAAAAATGTAAGATACGACTATGGCTGAAAAAAATGTTTGTAGGCTTTGGAGCTAGAGGAAAGTTGCTTCACCAGAAGCATTAACAGTTTTGTTGAAATTTTAATTTAACTCGTTTTGCCATGTGCTTATTGCCTTTTGACATCCCTGTGTGCATTCTGCAGAGAAGTTGTGCCCACTAAACCGTTTACAAACACAGCCTTATACTACAAAATGATGCTTGAATCTGAACCAACCCCCCTTGCTACAAAATGGTTTGGGGGTTTTTATGATGGATCAAAAGCCAATGTCGGTCACTACAAAATGACTTTACGTAACCATTTTGTAGTGAAAACGGGTTACAATGAAAAATCATGATTCGCTACTAAATGGGTCATAGCATTTACTAGGGGAAATGCTACTGGGGCCCAGGTCATAGTATTTGCCGAGCACAAGTAAATACAACCTTGGGATTTCCATCGGATTCCAAGAATTGACCTTTCAAAAAAGGTTTGACAAAAGCACGGCGCAGGGGCTTTGAACTGCAGTCGTCAGAGCTATGGGGCAGCAAAAACGATCTAAGCGCACAATTTCAAATTCAATTGATCGGTTTTGAACCAAATCTGTCTCATAAAGTCTCTATATAAAAAGCATGTGTTTCGATCTTTTGGGGCTTATCTGGACTGGGGCGCAGTAGGTTCTACAAAAGGTTGTGCACGCGTGTGTCACTACAAAATGCAGTGCATGACAAACGTCATCCAGAAACTAGGACATCACGTATCGAATCTGTGCTTTGTGACATTGTGGGTGAAAGGAACTCTGAGGATGGATTCGTTGAACTGGGGTGAAACTTGACTATTGGACAAAAAGAGCAGGAACCTAGTAGAATGGGATAGATTTAGATTTTAATTAATAATCGCATGTGCTGGCCAAAAAAGGTGTGACAAAAGCACGGCGCAGAGGTTTCGAACTGCAATCGTCAGAGCTATGGGGCAGCAAAATTGATCTGAGCGCACAACTTCAAATTCAATTGATGGGTTTTGAAACCAAGTCTGTCCCATTTTTCCTTCTTAAAGTCTCTACATAAAAAGCATGCTTTTCGAACTTTTTGGGGCTTATCTGGAGGGGGGCGCAGTAGGTTCTACAAAAGGTTGTGCACGCGTGTGTCACTACAAAATGCAGTGCATGACACAAGTCATCCAGAAACTAGGACATCACGTATCGAATCTGTGCTTTGTGACATTGTGGGTGAAAGGAACTCTGAGCATGGATTCGTTGAACTGGGGTGAAACTTGACTATTGAACAAAAAGAGCAGGAACCTAGTAGAATGGGATAGATTTAGATTTTAATTAATAATCGCATGTGCTGGCCAAAAGATGTGGCAAAAGCACGGCGCAGAGGTTTTGAACTGCAATCGTCAAAGCTATGGGGCAGCAAAATTGATCTGAGCGCACAACTTCAAATTCAATTGATGGGTTTTGAAACCAAGTCTGTCCCATTTTTCCGTCTTAAAGTCTCTACATTATTTGTTTTTTTTCGATTTTTTGGGGGCTCATCTTACCACGAAATAATCGTGAGTCAAGAGCCAAAAATGGTCTGAGGGTCCAAGCTATATGTTCATGTGACCGAGCATGACTGGTAAAAGAGGGCTATAGGGTTTCCGGTACGACACAACGCATCCCAAAATAAATCACTACAAAATGCGTTTCCGATTTATGAGTGTAAAATGGAACGCCGCTACAAGATACAGTGCACACCCTTTTACTACAAAAACTGGTGCACGGGTCCATTTTTTTTGCTTGAATTATCCACGAATCAGAGGATGGTACCAAGCACGTGTTCACCCTTTTAGTAGTGGAAATGGTAAGGGGGATCTTTTGACGAGATCACGCCCCAGTTTCAGGAAATCACTCTCGCATGCATCATGGTTCACCACAACAAAAACTTGATGTCTGGGGCGAGAAGCAATCCCTAAACCACATTGTAACGGGTAGCAGTAGCAACCAAAAAAAAGTCGGCATCAACAGCGTCTTTAAAATCCTCGCTAACCAAACGGTCACCCCAGCAATGCTCTTAGGGTTCAGAGTCCGCGAAATGGGCCGTCCATGAACCAAACACGTGTGGTTGAAGAAATCATTGCTGGATGAGAAAGCAGGCTGTGTGTTTCAAGCAACGCGATGCCCGTTGGCAAGCAGAATTGCCGTGCAAAAGCAAAAGGCATTCTCGTAACTAAACAAAACCCAATTCTTTAAACCCCTCTCATATGCCCTGTATCTCCGACCGGGTCCCGGGTGAGCTCAGCAAACGTAGCTCATGGAAGCAAATTCCCAGAGTTTGTATTATTTTCCGTTTGCCAAATGACCAAATGTCGACCAAAGTATTCACTTTCGCATGGAATTCTCACAATTGAGCCTCCTACTCCAGCATGCTTGAACATGACAATGTAAACACAATGGATTAACTGCTGTCACTCTTGAGTTGCTCTCGCTCGCGCCTGTTTGAGTCTCCAGTGACTTCAACACAAAGCCTCGTCGGAAATGGTCGAACATTGTGCCAGCATCACCGGCCACTGAAGCAAATCAAAACAAGGTCACCCCGCCCGCAATGACCCCGCTGATTTTCACAACCCTTCCAGTGTTTCGTGTCTAGAGCATTTTGTGTAGACTTGCAATTCGGTTGGTATTTGCATGATTTCAGAATCGTTTTGATGATGTTACATTGGTGGAAATGTGTTTTGTTCGGTTCCCAAAATGTTAAACAAAACTGTATGTTTGTTGTTTTTCACTTGCAAGTCTTTGCCAAGGTGCCAAACTGTTTCAACTGATCATCCTTTAAAAGATACAAGCAAGGTAAAACAACGCAAAAATGTATATTATATAGATATGTGGTACACAAGAGCGTTACATCCAAGTGTTCAAAGCGTGTTATATGTAACATTAAACTGTTCACACCGTCATAGATATTACATGAAGGTGTTCAGAGCGTAGCACCAAGAGCGTGCAGAGCGTGTTGGATGTTACATGAAAGTGCTCACAGCGTGTTAGATGTTCCATGAAAGTGTTCAAAGCGTAGCACCAAGAGCGTGTTAGATGTTGCACGAATGTGTTAGACACAAGATCACAAAACTGTTATAAAACGTTATTACATGCCCCCACAACCCCCCTGTTCAGGACGTCGCATGTCAAGCATGCTCGAGGTTACGGAAGATCATAGAACGTTCTTACCTCCCCCCCCACCCCCTCATGTGCAAACATGCCGCATATCCAAAAACGTCAATAACGCTAGGACTGTTTTCCCTCCGCTGGCATAAACATAAACGGATATATTATATACCTATATTGGAAAAGGACAGTCCAAAACGTGTGGAAATTTACAAAAGAGAGGTTTCAGGCATAGCATCAACAGCGTGTTAGATAATTACAGGACAAAAGGAGACGTAGCATCAACAGCGTGTAAAACAGAAGTTTGACAAAGTCTGAAGCATCTGCCAAAAGAAGCGGCGACAAAACGGTATTAGCCCCCCCACGCCCCCCACCCAAATGAAAATGCGAAATATAAAATGTGACAAGACAACATTGCATCAGCAAACCGCCTGAGGTCGTCAGAGGCGGCGTCAGCCAAAACAAGCATAACAAACATTTATTGAGGCTCCAACCACACTCCGGAAAAATCCGGGCAACGGGCACCAGGCTGAGGAATTGCCATCACCACGTCTGTCAATGTTTTTTGAATTGTTTTGTCCATTAGCTCACCGAAGAATATTCGCCGCAACAACCCCTCCTCCCCACATGAACATTATCAAATCATTGAAAATTGAATGCGCAGTCATTGGCCTGGCCTGGTTCCCCTGCGTCCATCAAGTCTGAAGGCGAGCTGGTGCGTATTTCCTCGGTCCATGGACTCCCTCTTGAACTCACTCCAAACATGCGATCAAATAAGGAACAATAAGCACACAGGGAACTTTTGGGCCTCCCTACTGCTGTGCAGTATCTATCGCATGGTGTCGCCCCGCACCTGGGTCACTTTCATTACGAAAACGTTAGGGGAAAAAAAAGTAATAAGTAATGCAAATCATTCGGCGAATCGTGTTTCCAAGGCTGCCGCTCGAACCACGAGTTTCTAGTTGCACTGGGTGTGTTTTGCCTGCAGCAACAATGCCGTCATTCGCAATGTGTTTGCGTGTAAGCATGCTCAAGATTTATGGATATACCGATATACCTAGCCAAAAAAAAAAAACTTTCAACTTGCACATTAATAGGTGCAGTGGCCTGACTTCTGCTGGATTCCTCACCTTTCCGACTGTGGTCGCCAATTTGAACACATATTTATCCACTTCAATCGTCTGCAGAGGTGATGTCACAACCGTGCTTTGGTCCACATCAACGTTTGCATTCGGGTCCGCACGAATGCTATGCCCATGGCCAACTCTGGCGACCTTAGTGATTAGATGCAATCAATATGCAGCAAATCACCACAATCACCACCACATCCACCGAGTCGCCATTGCCCAGCAACTCTGGGACTTCCAGTTTGCCCAACCTTGCAAAAACAGATTCACCCAGATGAAATCACACTTGCCTGGTTCAGTACTGCTTGGTCACAGCAACATGTTCAAATAGGACCTTTCGAACGTCACTGTGGTCCTGGCGTTGTCTTCTCGCATTACATGCGCACCTAGGAAATAATTTGTCCGAAGAAAATAAAAACATCAAATTGTCATTATGCGCCCAAAGCAAGGTCCAGACTTCCGTGGAACACGAAGGTGGTACTGCGCCGTTCCAGCTGCAAAAGAACTGTGAAGCACGGTCTGCAATGACTGCTTGTGATCAACGTTTGTACTATTTTGCTTCGATCATTCTTCCATTTTTGCACGACTTGTTCGTAGCTACACCATGAATACATGGCACTGAAACCCATGGCTGCGGTGCAGCGGAATGCACTGGTTACACCTTAGTCCGTTCAGACCTGATTTTGCACATACGTGTCCATTCGGCCTTGAACCTTGGCACCCGACACAAGCTGTGTAACCGCAGCCTATGGCCCAAAACCTGTTTTTTCCTGCCAGAACCTAACTCAGAAAGAAATTAAAAATTATAGGAACATCGACCCCAAACAGTTTTGTTCAATTACATTTTCCCCACATGCCTAGAAAAAAATAACCTGTCGAGCATACCTGTACTATTTTTTTCACGAAACCTGTCTATATCAAGTTTGGTTCCATCAACCTAACCTCCCTCAAACTCACATCTATCAAATTAATACTTAGATTTGTCAAATTTGTCCGTATCAAATTTACATTTATGAAGTTCCCCAATCTATTTCTATCAAATTACCTCCGACAATTGTTTTTCCACCAAATTTATCCGCATCAAATTTATTTTGCACATATTTGCCCTCATGAAGTCTGTCTCCGAATTTATCTTTGTCAAATGTGCTTTAGTTTTATTTGTAACCATCAATCAAACATGCCTGCCGCAATTTGTTTCTGTCAAACTTATTTTTGCCAAACTTACCTCCATCAAATTCATGTTCCCTGTCAACCTTTGACAATCAGCCGCGTTTCGTGTGGCACCGCACAGACACCACTTGCTGACTGGGTCTGGCAGCAAGTTTTTGCCTGCATCGGTCGCCATGGTCGCTGTGTGGTCGCCGTCGTGGCCGTGTTTGCCACTGCCATTTTGCGCGGCACGCGTTGCGCTTTGTGAATCTTAGCTGCATCAGTTCGTCTCTGCCGATCTTATACCTACTGCCTCTATCTACTCTGTGTCGGCTAAATTTCACTACCAGTTTGTTTGCAAACAATTTTGCCTTTATATTTACCTTTTTTTTTATCAAACTTACTTTTATCAAATGACTATACCCGACCAAACATATTTTTACCAAATTGTTCTCGACCAATTTTTTGCAGTCATTTTTTATTTTAATGTCCACCAATTATTTACGTGACACTTTTCTTCGGCAACCCTATCGGTGTTAAATTTATCTCTACCAAACGTCAATCTGCAAAATTGGTTTCAAACAAACCCTATTATTTTACAGACAATTTCGTCTATCAAGCTTACGAGTTTGAAATTGATGTCCCTCTATCACACTTATTCCGGTGAATTGTATTGCACGAAACCTTTTTTCCCCCTATATTTAGTTTCGCCAATCCTATCTCTCTATATCAAGCATCTCTCTACAACATTGCTCTGTTCCACGCTTCGTCCTAGCATTCAGTTTTACGGTAGCAAATTTACTAATATCAAGTTTACCTTTGCCAATTTGGCCTCGACCAATTTCATTTCAGCATGATTTGCCTCCATCAACTCCATTCCTACCCTTGCATTTCGGGCCAAAGGGAGGGTGCAAAAACTAACAGGACGGTACTAGTGAGTTAGTAGCGTTGTACCGGCAAATTCGTAGCTGAAACGAAAAACTGAAACAGGAATTTCTGAGCGCGAAAGCGAGGAACCAAATTGAGATCCAGGCAAAGAAAGAGCTGACGACGAGGATGATGATTTTGACGATGATGACGATGATGACGATGATGACGATGAGGATGATGATGATGATCATGATCATGTAGTAGGAGTAGTAGTAGTAGTAGTAATAGTAGTAGTAGTAGTGGTGGTGGTGGTGGTGGTGGTGGTGGTTGTGGTGGTGGTTGTGGTGGTGGTTGTGGTTGCGGTTGCGGTTGTGGTTGTGGTTGTGGTTGTGGTTGTGGTTGTAGTTGTAGTTGTAGTTGTGGTAGTAGTAGTAGTTGTAGTAGTTGTAGTAGTTGTAGTAGTTGTAGTAGTTGTAGTTGTAGTTGTAGTAATAGTTATAAAGTGTGGAGTGTACACAAAGTGCCACGCCTCCCACGCGAAACCCGGCTACGCGACGTCTGAAACCTCCAAAGTGACCACTGTTGCAAAACTCGCCATAGGCACGGCCAGGCCTCACGCGAACAGTTGCGAACGGTCGCAGGCGGCTGCGAACTGCGCCTGCCCTCAACCCGGGCCTGCCAGGGGCGGAGGGGCGTTCTTTTGTCTTTGAAAAAATTCTACGGTTTGGGTTCACGTACTGCTTTCCTATTTCTAGTTAGTTTTCGTTAAATTTAATTTTTCATAGGATCCTGCCACCCCATCCATGATGACAGGATAATGTCAGTTGTGGGGTTGACATGTCCTTTCTTCAATCATCCGCGCCCACCGTTTCCCACACGCGTTGCGATTTGTAGAGAGCTGCGTCTCGAATGCTTGGGCCCTTCCAGGGCCACACGAACGGTCTGCAGAAACGTTTTTTGAAGCAGATAAAATGATTGGCCCGTACTTAAAATTCGGCACATACATGGTATGGTTTAGCAAAGTTTCAATGCTTTCACAATAGGGCCCCTCTTGGACTGGCCTGCACATTCGCATGCATAAACGGATTCAAATACGCAAATAGAACGCATATTCCCGACATATCCAGAAATTGCGGCTACCAGTTGTTTTCATTACGTTCATGTTTACATTTCTTTTACGTAAGGGATAAAAGGGCAAATAAACTCTTATTTTTCTCCCGACATTAAAAAACATAAACCATACACATGTACAAACCCAAACGTTACAAAATGCGCTTGCGTTATCGTTTGCGCTTTGTTTATGTTTCTGTTTATGTTTTCTTCTCGCGCGATCCAAAATAAGGCCTTATTTTGCGTGATTCACAAAATAAATTCTTATTTTTCCCCTAGGATTAAAGAAAAAACGACATAAAGTCGCAAAATACGTTAATCTGTTTCGCATACGTTTCACATACGGCTCACATATGTTTTCACTTGCGCTGCACATATGCTTCACATACGTATCACATACGTTCCACTCACCTGAATGTGTATGTTTCATATGAATTTTACATATATGTTCTTGCATGTTCGGCCACTTAAAATTTGTATACGAACCCCTGCGTCAATTCCTATAGAAGGAAAACCTTCAGGCTTTTGAGGTTCAGCTAGAGTATGGCAGAGTTTTTTTTTTTTGCGTCCGACTTCATGCCAACACAACGCTGGCTGCAAACGAATTTCTATACCTTCCACGAACCGCATCATTTCGGCACACACAAGATGGTGCTAGGCGAATGCAAGCCCAAACTAACAAACGAGAAATATACATTGGCACGCTTGTTCTGGGCGCAAACAGTAAAACCCAACTGAAACCATTGCGGGGCCCACCCAGCACCGCAAAAAAGAAGTACGAAAACCTTGCGCTACATGATGCCACTGGTTAATATCAACATCCCACACTTCCACTTTTACCCGACTTATGCCAAGCGTACGCTGCAAATTTGGAAACCAAAAAAAAAATGACTTTTCCCGAAACCTGTATCAATGAAGATGGGACAGGGGTCACATCTGCGCTTGCCTCAGGGTCACATTTGCCCCCATTTCACCTGCCTTTCTTCGAATCATTCAACATTTTTCAGTATGACTTAGGGAAAAAAAACTGCAGAGGGGATTGAGGGGCAGCGGTTTTAGCGCCCGACTTTGGAGGCTCAATTCCACTTGGATTGTTTGACATTGGGCGCATTTTTTTGTTTGATCTGCATTTTTGTGTTTAGGAACAATTTTTGGCTTTTGAGTCTGCAGATTTCCTTCCTCCTTGCTGCATCTTCGAACTGAAATCTCGATTGGCGCAGAATTTGCTGCACTTTGGAACGGACATCTCCCATTTGCTTGCTACAAGCTGTATTTTGAAACTAGAGCCTCTCATTTGCGTGCTATGTGCTAAATTTTGGAACGCGTTTCGGAACTAAAATCGCAAATTTGGGAAACGAAAATCGAAATTTTGGTTGGTATTCATCAATTTTTTCATGGTGTCTGATCATTTTCAATGGTTTACAAGTTGCTCATGTGTTTTGGCGATATTTTCGGTCGTGTTTATCGATTTTTCCGATTGTCCTATTGAATTTTTTGGTGTTCATCGATTTCTCGACGGTCTCAGGCTGAAAATGCAGGGGGGCTGTTTATGCAAATAAGCGACTATAAACATGTTTATATGTATACGTTATTGATAAAATGCGCGGGGCGTGGAGAATCTCAATTGCCAGTAAGGGGCAAACGTTTTTTCCTCACTGCCATAACCTATAGCATGGACATTGCCGGTTTAAAGTTTGATGTGGGTTAGTTTTGAATTAATGTAAGGTTTACACGCCTGCTGGATTGCGCAGCCAAGTCTTCAGTCTGGTCCACTAACACATCCACAGTTTCCGCGGCGCTTGGTCGAACAGCGAGGCGGGATGCCGGGGGTGGGGTGCCGGGGTTGTGTTCAAGCGGCCTTGTGGGCGGGGTTCATCGGAACTGGCTATAGGGGAGGCCATGGTGGTCTCCCTTGCCATTTGTGTTCCGTTGTGCCATGGAAGCTCGACAAAGCCCGTGTGCTATCACCACAACCTGCCGGTTGTCTAGCCGGTTTGTTCGTGAAAGTTTGAATTCGGACACTACAATGTGGGTAACCACTCGGGCTCTCCAGTTTCTCCGTAGACCCGTGCTGCTGCCCGTTCTAATGGCCCGGTTCTGCGTCTCAAGACCCCTGATGTAGCACATGCCGCACGGTCGCCAAAAGAATAAAGAGAGAGACGGCACGCGTTTTGCAGGGTGTGCGCAGTTTCGTTGGTTGTTTGAAAAGTTGGCGGGGATTGATGGGGGTGGCGAAACTTTTGTGAGCGATGGGTTCGTAAGGGTTTTGTTTAATTTTTTTTCGGGTCGGTTTAAGATTTATTTTGGTGTTGCTTAGCGTCTATCTAACATTCGTTTCAAGTTGGTTGGGTTTGGATTCGGATTTATTTAGGGATAGCACACGTGCATACAACTACCTGTATATGCGTATACTTAAACATTTGTGTGTGCATGTATGCCCACACACACACATGTCCAGAATAATGTTTTTACAAGTGTGGAAGTTTGAATTTAAAGAAAGGAGAGGAAGGGGGAGGCGTTGCGCACCTGCCTCTCAAACACGAATGACAATCCGTATTTTCCTGCGCTGTGTTTTATTTCAATGTGGTACTCATAGGCAAGACGCATGTAGAATGTGAGGGGCATTCGCTGGGGATTACATTGCAAACGGCGGATATGATCTGAGCACATGGACAAAAACGTTGTTATTTTGGGGAACGGGATGCTCAGGTGGATACACTATAGTTGGAAACAAATTTCAACAAGTGTCCTGAGATAAGTTCGGACACTTGAATGTGAAAATTTGACATTCCTATCACACATACGAATTTGAAAGTAATTTTTTGACTGCCACGCAACCTTTGTGAACACAAATCTAACAAATATAATTGGGGAACAACATTCGACAACTGTTTCGAATACGGTTTTCAACAATTTTAAAAACAAAAAAAGGTAGTTAGGACACTCGTTCAAAACACGTTTCAATTCTGTCCCGACAGCATGCATGTAAGATCATGTGAGTTCATTCAATATATGCGTGTAACCTCCCTACGGTTTACATGTAACTTATGTGCTATCTATTGTAAGGAATAGTATATACACATTACAATGCTACACATGATTTCATTGTCAACAAAAGCTGAAAATTGAAATTCCGCAAATAACCGCGGAAAATGATGCAGGTTGAGGCAAAATGTTTCCCTTGTGAAAATTTTAAAGTTCATTTAACCTTAGCCG